CCCCATATGGCAGCTCAGAACCAACATAACTCCTTTTCCAGAGGATATGACACCCTCTTCTAACCTCTTTGAGCATCAGACATGAATGTAATACACATGCATACATGCAAGAAAAACACGCATCTACATAAAATTTAAAAAAGACCTTAAAAAAATTACAGGCTCTTGGCCAGGCATGGTGGCTCATACTTGTAATGCCAGCACATGGGAGACTGAGGCAGGAGGGGTACCATGAATCTAAGGGCAGGAGAGGCAATGTACTAAGTTCCAGGTCATCCTGGATACATTGTGAAGTACCATGTCAAGAAACCAAAAACCTTTAAAAAAAAGGTACAGAATTTAAAACAAGAAAGTTATGAAATAGTGTTGGAAACAAGAAACATAATCTGTGAAAATGGAAAGAATTGCAATGCTCTTGGATAAGATCTTGTTTGCTTGTGACAGGGTCTCACTGTGTAGCCTCAGCTGACCTGTAACTTCCTATATAGACCAGGTTGGCTTTGAACTCATAGAGATCTGTTTATCTCTGCCTTCTGAGTGCTGGGACCAAAGAGTGTGCCACCTCATCCAGCTTGGATAAGATCTGGGAAAAGAACATTCCAATTCTCCCAATTAACTTAAAAATCTGATATACTCCAATGAGAACTTCCATTTTTTAAAAATCATAGGTAAAATGTTTTTGGACTTCACTTGTTAATATGGTAAAAGAAAGACCAGGAAAAGTGAGTTATAAAAAATAATAGCTTAGCCGGGCGTTGGTGGCACAAGCCTTTGATCCCAGCACTTGGGAGGCAGAGGCAGGCAGATCTCTGTGAGTTCGAGGCCAGCCTGGTCTACAGAGTGAGTTCCAGGACAGCTTCCAAAACAATAGAGAGAAACCCTGTCTGTAAAAACCACACATACAAAAAAATAATAGCTTATCTCACTAAGTAATTTCTAAAGGTCTACTTTTATGATTTTTTTATTATGCATAACTGTATAGGTGTGTGTAAGTGTGTGTGAGTGGGTGTATGTGTATAAGAGTGTGTGAGTGTGTGTGTGTGTGTGTGTGTGTGAGAGAGAGAGAGAGAGAGAGAGAGAGAGAGAGAGAGAGAGAGAGAGAGAGAGAGAGAGAGAGAGAGAGAGAGCAGGTGAATGCTGATGCCAGCAGAGACTAGAGGCACCAAGTTTCCTGGGGCTGGAGTTACAGGTGGTTGTGAGCTGCCTGATGTGGGTGCAAGGAACTGAATTCAGGTCCTCTGGAAGAGCAGCAAGTGCTCTTAAACTCTGAGCCATCTCTCCAGCCTCTCACCAAAAATTTATTTGTTTACTTTTATTTTATATGCATTGGTGTTTTGCCTGCATGTATGTCTGTGTGAGAACGTCAGATCTTGGAGTTACAGACAGTTGTTAACTGCCATGTGGGTTCTGGGATTTGAACCCCGGTCCTTTAGGAGAGCCGTCAGTGGCCTTAACCACTGAGCTAACTCTCCAGCTCCTTACCAAATATTTTTAACACACTAAAGACTATCTACAACCTGTGGTTTGGAAGCAGTGATGGATAGCTAGTTAGGTAGGTAGGTAGATAGATAGATAGATAGATAGATACATACATACATACATACATACATACATACATACATACATACATAGAAGAAAGAGACCACAATAGATTTCAAATGTATGTGGGAATTTAATGTTACAAAAATTGAAATTCAGTTCTATGAAGGGACAAGATGACTCCCTTAACTTGTGCAGGTACAAGCTTTACATCTGGAGGGCCCTGGTTTGATTCCAAGCATCTATATGACTGCTTACAACTGTTTGTAACTCCAGTTTCAGGGGGGGTTCTACACCCTCTTCTTGCCTCCATGAGCATGCACACATGTGGCACTCAGATATACATGCAGGCAGAACACACATACAGGTGGAATGAAATAATAATTTAAAAATAGATGGTAACATTTAGCATGTGATCATATAGCCTTATATGTAAAAATCAAATGACCAAAGGAACAGATAATTTACGGAGCAACAAAGGTAACCCATTAGTAAGCACAGAGAGAGACATTCAGCCGTTGGAACTCAGCAGAAATAACTATGAAATAGCATTTGCCACTCATCTGCCTGACTGACAAGAACTTAAAATTGTTGTTTCCTATTGGCCAGAAGGAAAGGCACCTCATCTGTTAAGATTGCTTGCTGCTCTTCCAGAAGATGCGAGTTGGTTGGGTTACGGCACTTATGCCAGACTGCTCACAACTGCCTATAACTCCAAGTCTAGGGGATCTGACACCTTCCTTTGGCTTCCTCATGCACACATGTGGCTTACATTCCCAGAGACATAGACACATAAATCAAAATGAATCCTAAATCTACCAGCTTGCAATGTCTGTGCCCTGAGGCTTTTCTTGGGATGCTGTTTGCAGTGACAAAATAATGGAAATAAAGGGAATGCCTAACAATGTAGGAATGATCACCATAGCTCATTCAAACCACGGAATAGCAAGCAACCAATAAGGGTAACTTTCTCAGACATGAACTAATAAGTAAGTCTAGGGATATCTTTGTCATCCAGCAAGTGAGAAAGGTAACATACAGAATGGTAGAAAGCAAGTCTTCAATGGCAGCCTCATCACACATGTGAATACACACATGTGGATACTCAACGTGGACACATGCGTTTGGACGTGGTCTCGTGAGGACAGAGAAAGGTGTGGATGAATAGCAGACATGGATGTCAACAGGGATTCGGGAGGAAATGAGCATAATAAAAATAAGGCATAAATAATAGTGATCCAATACTGAAATTAGATAAAATGCCATGCTATAAGGTAAGAGGAAACAGTAACTAAGAAATCCCAGGTTATTGATGCAAAAGATTGTCAGACATTAGAAACAAAAATGATGACAGCTGTTTAAATAGAGGCACTATATGTGTTCCCACTGTACTTTCCAAGTTTTGTTTTTTTAACCAACCATAGCACTGAGATTTTTTGTTTTGTTTCTTGAAGACAGAGTTTCTCTGTAGCTTTGGAGCCTGTTCTGGAACTCGCTCTGTAGACCAGGCTGACTTCAAACTCACAGAGATCTCCCTGCCTCGGACTCCTAGAGTGCTGTGATTTAAGGCATGCGCCACCAACGCCCGGCTGTGTGTGTAATTTTATAATTTACTAACTAAATCAGGGTTTCTGACTTCTATTGATCAAACACCTTTTTTCATATCTTGAAATCAGTGGTCACACAGACATGCATATGTGAGTTTTCTGACACCGTAGCTCTGAAATATACACGTTTTCCCTCTTACTTAGGACATGGAGTTTTGTTTGCCTGTTTCCAATTAGTTACAGGTCAGAAAACTAAATCCTCAGATGTAAATTATCTATAACAATTTGGTTTTACATATTTCAAGATTCTCCCCCCCTCCAATAGCAGCAGAATTACACCTAACAATAATTTAAAAATTGTGTGGAATGGGTTCAGTCAGTAGAGGTCTTGCCTAGCATGCATAAGGCCCTAGGTTCAATCTCCAGCACCAAAAACAAACAAACAAAACCAAAACATCCCAAACAAAACCTGGGTATACTGGCACATGCTTGGAATTCAGCATTCAGGAGGATCAGAACGTCAAGGTCACCTTGACTCCATAGTGTTTGAGGCAAATCTGAATACATGAGACCCTTTCTATGAAGGAAAAACAAAAAGCGTTTTGCTCTCCGTCATGTGTGCATCAACCCTGAAGTGTGGGAGACCAGGAGAGCCCGGCACCTTCAGTCTCTGTAGTGGAGGCTCATGAGGTGGAGGCATTCATCAAAGACAAGAAAGGGTTAAAACCCTGCCGGGGAACTGCAGATGACTAAGCGAGGCCGGGTGAGCATTCTCTACTCATGTGTTAGACTGTGTTCTGAACTTGCAACTTCGTGTCCAGTGGTCACAACAGCAGCTCACATTTGTTAAGCTGCTTCTGGGAACAAAGGAATCACCTGAAAAAGGTGAAATTGGTTAATTGCCCTTCTTTCTTCCTTCTTAATGTAATTTTCCTAAACAGCAACTTGCTAGTAAAGCCAGTAAGTCTTTTTTTTTTTTTTCCTCTTTGAGACAGGGTTTCTCTGTGTTGTTTTGGAGGCTGTCCTGGAACTCACTTTGTAGAACAGGCTGGTCTCGAACTCACAGAGATCTGCCAGCCTCTGCCTCCCAAGTGAGTTCTGGGATTAAAGGCGTGCACCACTACTGCCGGGAAACCTATCATATTATAAATTCTAGCCGGGCGTTGGTGGCGCACGCCTTTAATCCCCGCACTTGGGAGGCAGAGACAGGCGGATCTCTGTGAGTTCGAGGCCAGGCTAGACCGACAGCCTCCAAAACAGAGAAACCCTGTCTTGTAAAAACCAATAAATAAATAAATAAATAAATTCTATAGTTACAAATGATATTTGCTGGCCAGTGAGATGGCTCAGTTGATAAAAGCACTTGCCGTAAAAGCCTGGTGACAAGAGTTTGGCCCCAGGCCCCATATAAAGGTGGGTGGAGAGCCTGACTCCACAAGCTGTCCTCTGTGGCATCGTGGTATGTACCCTTCCCCAATAATAATACATTAAAACATCTCCTCCCTAGCATTCTCTGCCCCAAATTCCTGCCTAGCCCTTGGCCAATCAGGTCTTTATTAACCAATGAGAGCAATACATATTTACAGTGTACAAAGATTGTTGAATAGAAGAGATCGCCCTGCCTCTGCCCACTGAGTACTGGGATTAAAGGTGTGTGCAAAGTTTTTGGATTCTAGACATTTGTGAGCTGTCATGTGGGTCCTGGGAATTGAACCTGGGTCTTCTAGAAGAGCAGCCAGTGCTTTTAACTGCTGAGCCATCTCTTTAGCATCTGACTTTAAGTTAGGTTTACTCAGTTTAATAATTCATTCTTCTGAAATTGTTTAGCTTTCCGCTGCGCATGGTATGTAAAAGCTAACCCACAGAACCATCTTCAGCAGTACTACCAGGGACCCTGTATTCTTTGATTGGCAGGTGCAGGGAAGGGGCGGTGGCCGGATCCAGGACGAGGATGATGCAATGCTGAAGAGTGAGCTGGAGGAGAGAAGCAGCAGGCACCATGGAAAAAACCAAAACAAAGCAAGGTCAGAGCTCCATCTTGATTTTGAGCTGGGGATTCAGGAAATATTATTCAAATATTATTTTCCCATCATCACCTTGAAAAACACAGACTTGCTGGAATGAAAAAAAATGCCATTGATATAACATATGACTTGAGTCCTTCTCTTTTGCCTCAGTGATGACTTAGACATGTTGTAGGTCCATTACTCTAATAGACACCCAGAACCTTCTAGACCTTCCTAGAAGAACAAGGGGATTCCCTTTCCATTGTTTACTTACTAGCAGAAGCAATATATAGAAATTACTCTGTTATTGTTTCCAATGGAAAAAAGCAGCCATAGGGCAATCAGTGTCAAATTTAGGCCTGAGGTCCTGCTCCATATGTCTCAGGCTTGGTTCTTGCCATCTGTTTAGACATAGTATAAAATGGGCTAACCTGTCCTTACTCAAGCTTTTATGAGGAGGTTTGGTAATCTCAAACCACTGGGATTTAACAGAGAGCTTCTACCAGGTACAAGGTCTAGACTGAGGTGATATGATAGCTATGACCTTACCATACGGAGGCTGGCTCTTCTAAGTAGGGTTTTCCATACTGGTGTGTGTAAGGAGAAAAATACACACATGCACACAGCTAAAGACTTGCAGGCAGGAGTTTCATGAGAGTTGCTTGCGTCTTATAATGTGTGTGACCTTTGTGCAACATGACCCTCCATGGGAGCAGCAGTAAAATACTCTGAAAGACAGTTTATAAGCCAACCTGGTTTTCTCCCTAAGTTGTAAGTGATTTTTACAGCCATCAACCCCGTATTTCCCTGTGACTCCACACTCCAGTAGTGGCAATAGTTTTCTTTCTGCCTATAGTCTTCCAGAAACTTCCCACTGACAATTCCTTCCCATCAGCCCTCCTGCCTAGTTGGGCAAGAGTCCCTCTGCTGACTGTGGCCTGAGATGAGGGCAGAATGTAGAATTTGGCAATGATTGTAGAGAGGTAGAAGTAGGAACATTTTATGTTTCTTCCTGAGATCAGTACAGTATAGCCAGGCACCTATGTGGGTGTCATACCTCCTTTTTCTGTTGCTATTATATAATACTCTGACAAACTTGAGGGCGATGGGTCTTATTTGCTCATAATTCCAGATTCCAGTTGATCATGGCAGGGAGGTCAGACAGGAGGTGCCTGAGAGAACTGGTCACATTACAGCCACACATAAGAGCAAATGTATATGAGTGCATTGCCTGCATTTATGTTTGTGCACAGCATGTATGCTTGGTGCCTGCAGAGGTCAGAAGAGGGCGTCAGATCCCCCAGGACAGGAGTTACCGACAGCTGTGAGCAATCATGTGGGTGCTGGGGACTAAACCTGTGTCCTGTGCAAGAGCAGTAAGGGCTCTTAATCACTGAGCCATCCTTTCAGCCCCTTGTGCTCTCCACAGTATACAGTCCAAGATTTCCACTCTGCTCAGGGAGTGGCGCTACCCCAAGTTAACTGGAGTCTTTCCTCATGAATTAACTTAACCACAACAATTCCAAGAGGACATTCTCAGAGGCCAACCCTAATCTAGACAGTCCTTCACAAGGGTCCCCAGAGGTTTGCCTCCAAGGTGAAGAGTTTACAGTTACTACCAACTGTAACCCTGGCAAAGAACAGATGTCAGCTCAGATCAACTTCAGTCAGCCCTAAGAATGTGAGGGAGACACCCCCTAAGGCATCCCCTTCTAATCGGTTAATGATTGCTGATCTCTGAGTTTGGTAGAGAAACTTCTCTTTGATGGCAAGGAAGGGTTTTCTACTATGATAATTTTGTCAGGTAGGTATAGTTTGGCCATTAGGATATAAACAGCATCACAGGCACTAGTTTAGTTGTTTTTGTTCCAGAGGACCTCTGGTGTGTTTATCCTTCCATGTACCCAGTGAGAGTAGGCCAGGCACAGAGCGAGTTTTGGCGATTGAACAAAGCTCTTTCTTCCTGCAGGAGAGAATGAACATATGCCGGTGAATAACCCTTCCACGCAGATTTATCAGGTAACAAATACGTTATTGTGAATACCATCATGTGAATAGCACAGCAATTTTTAGCGCTGAAGTCCTTCCACATGTGTCCTGATATTTTTTCTCTTAACAAGGCCAAGGGACAGGTAGGGCAAAGGCGACTCATGGTATTACTTTGAGAGAACTGCTTGTGAGAGGAACAATTATTCCAGTTGTAAGATGTAGCATCTATCTCCACACTGGATCTACTTTTCTTGCTTATACTACTGTCACTGTGGCCATCACACCAGGCAATTAATAGCATTGTCATCAGAGAGGACACAGGTGTGGTGGTGCATGCCATAACCCTAACACTGGGAACTTAAGACATGAGTTTAACAAGTTCAGGGCTAGCCTATGTTATGTAGAAAGATCTCTCATGATGGTTTTCTTAATTACACCCTCCCCACCCCCAGGAAGAACTGAGAATTAGGAGTGTTAGCTTTACAAACATTCAAGTACGGTAACAGGAAAAAAAATTAAGTTCATTTTAAACAATGGCAATGATTAGATTCTTTACAAAGATAATCAGGACAAGCAGGCTGCCCCAACTCCACAAATAGAATTTATTTGGCTTCTATCTTCCAACAGAAACTGAATTGAAGTTCTATCCTTAGCAATCATGATGTTTACAGTGCCATGTTATATCTGGTAAAGCAGTCTGAGCTTCATGCTTCTCTTTAGACTTATAGGTTGGGTTTTTAGGCCCTTTCAAGCAGGAAGACAGGAGTCCAGGGGAACAGACAGCTCAAGGGAAATGTTATTTAGATTAGTTGAGTTTAAATGCTGGTAAAGGCAACACGAAAGCTAGCCCCCAGAAGCATTTTGCAAGAGTTGATTGCTGTGGGCCTAACTAGAGCGAGCCAACAGCGGGAGAGAAAAACATTGTTAGCTGTGTTGCTCTTAGACAAGCAATGGGAGGGAACAGAAGAAACAGCATCTTTTCAGTGTCATTCATATTTGGAGAATAGTTATGTGCAAAATCTATTGCTTAGCCTAATGGGAAATTAAACAGATGAAACATACTTCTGTGTTTGTTTGTTTTTGAATGTCCACAACCTTGAAAATACATCAATACATCGACAAATGGCTCATATGAGGCATGGTTTTGAAAAGGCTACAGTGAAGGCATTGATATAGTTTAGTAGGGCAGAGATGGGTTGTTAACTGCAAGACTTGAGCGATGTACCCAAGGACAAGCCAATCACTGGACAGTGGACACTAAGAAAGACTACTTCTGACAGGGTGGCCATCTTGAGCAGAGCCTACGGCAGAGGTAGGTCTCCTCTGATGTGATACCTCACTGGTCCAAGGCCTCTAGATGCCTTCTGTGCTCACCCATAGTCTCCTCTTACCTGCCTCTGGCCTTTGAGTGGGTGTAAGTGCCTCTTTAGAGCCAGGTATGATTTGAAATCTATTATAGATATGTGGGTTGCTCCCTCGATGTTTGCTGAATTTAGCTGCCGCGGGGATGGCCTCATTATCTCACTGCGTCACAAGAGCATCTGTTCACACTGGAGGGCTTGGAGCCGGGAAAGAGCGTTTGGTCTGTGTGGTCTCTGCTGTGCCCATCTTTGTTTTAAAAGAACATTTCCCAAGTTTCCTAATTCCAAGCAACTTTTAACCAAAAGAAGGAGGGGCAAAGAAAGAGGGCAGAGGGCAGGGAGGTTAGGTAACTATAAGAAAATATGATCTGCATTAGAAGGGACAACAGAACTGAAAGAAAATGTGAAATTTCAATAATTTTCTCCATTTTTTGTAGATTACATCCCTTGCAGATGTTATTACATTAACTTGATTTTCAAAAAATTTCCAAGTTGGGCAGTGGTGGTGAAGGTGGATCTCTGAGTGTGAGGCCAGCCTGATCTACAGAGTGAGTTCCAGGACAACCAGGACCACACAGAGAAATCCTGTCTTGAAAAAAACACTCAAAAAGAAAAAAAAATTCCAGGACAGGACATAGTGGCACAAGCCTATAACACAAGACAGAGGCAGGCAGATCTGTTTAAGTTCAAGGTCAGCTTGGTAAGCAGAATGAGTTGCAGGCTAGCCAGGGTTGCATAGTGAGACCCTGTCTCAAAATCTTCATTCCTGTCTCCTAACCCAGAGTATAAACTATAAAGCAAGGATTTAGTGGGCTTTGCTCTTGGTATTCTTAGCACAAAGCACAGTGCTTGGCATATAATACATAGTAAATTGGAGTTGGACACGAGCGACGATCTGGAAGGAGTGTGCACCTCTTCACGCTACGGTGTCTGCTGCAATCATTCAGTCTGCTGGGAGATAGTGTTGGGGAAAAGGAAGACCTTTGTGGTTTGTTCTACTCAAAACAAACTTCAAAGTGTTTCTTAAAAGGTTAAGTAGGAAAAAATCCCCTGGATATGGTGGATAGTGGCACAGATTTTAAACGCAAGCACTGAGAAAACTGGGGAGACAAAGGCAGGAGGACCAAGTTCAAGGGCCGCCTGGGTCACATGAGACCTCGTCTCAACAGAACAGACAATCTAGGAAGGAGTTAGGCAGCAGACCTGAGGCTCCCTATAAGGGAGAACATTAATTGGCATAGCTTGCAGTTAGAGGTTTAGCCCATTATCTTCATGGTGGGTGACATACAAACAGCCATAGTGCTGGAGAAGGAGTTGAGACTTCTACATCTTGATCTGCAGGCAACTGGGAGTGAACTGAGACACACTCCCCTAGCAATACCACGTCTACTCCAAAAAGCCACACTTTCCTTGGGAGCCATTTTCTTTCAAACCACCACAGTACTGATCGTACAAAACACCAAGCTACACAACCATAGCATATATACAAAGGGTCTGGCTCAGACCCATGCAGGCCCTGTGCTTCCTGCCTCAGTCTCTGTGAGCCCCTATGGACCCTGCCTAGTTGAATCTGTGGTCCATGTTCTTGTGGTATCTTTGACTCCTCTGGCTCCTATAATCATTCCTAGTCCTCTTCTGTGGGGTTCCCCAAGCTCTGCCTTATGTTTGGCTGTGGGTCTCTTCAACTGCTCCCATGGTTGCTGGATGAGGCCTCTCTGATGATGACTGGGCAAGGCACCGATCTATGAGTATAACAGAATATCATTAGTAATCGTTTTGTTGACTTTTTTTTGTTTGTTTGTTTGCTTTTCGAGACAGGTTTTCTCTGTAACTTTGGATCCTGTCCTGAAACTCATTCTGTAGCCCAGGCTGGTCTTGAACTTACAGAGCTCTGTCTGCCTCTGCTTCCTGAGTGCTGGGATTAAAGGAGTGCACCACCACCATCTAGCTGACTTTTTTTTTTAACCAGTCATGTTTGGTTCTATCTGGAGTCTCTGGGCTATCCAACCTCAGGCCTCCTTTATTGTTGTTATAAGTGTCTTCTCTGTCAACAACAGTGATGATACTGGAATACTTGCTTCTCAGTTGACCATAGACTTCAAGCAGACTCTGCAATGGGGGGCTTCTATTCCTTTCCCCATCCGTATGACTTTCTGTCTTCCCATGTGGCCTCAAAGGAAGTTTAAAGAAGTAAGTTGTTTGTTCAAAAAACCTTTAATTGAATAACTACGGGCCAGGTTCATGGTGTTATCCTAGCATGTCTGTTATCCCAGCACTTAGGAGACAGAGACAGGAGGATCACAGCAAGTTTAAGACCAACCTGAGTGAGTTTCAGGCTAGCCTGAAATATGATATAAGGCCATATCTCAAACAAACTATGGGAATTAGTTGTGTATTGTCAAAACTGATCCTGAAGGTTGTTATGGGATTCGTGCCTGGGTCCCGTCGCCGCTTTAGCCCCCAAAATAACACAAGGAAACTCTATTTGTTACAATGCTGTCCACCAATGTCCAGGGCTTCTCATTGCCTAGTTCTGTCTTAAGTATTAACTCATGACTACTAATATATATATATATATATATTTCTATAATGTCTTTTTTTTTTTTTTTTGGTTTTTCAAGACAGGGTTTCTCTGTGGCTTTGGAGGCTGTCCTGAAACTCACTCTGTAGACTAGGCTGATCTCGAACTCACAGAGATCTGCCTGCCTCTGCCTCCCGAGTGCTGGGATTAAAGGTGTGCACCACCAACGCCAGGCCTATAAGGTCTTATCTTACTGAGAATGTCAGGCTAGTGCATTCTCTCCTCCCAGGATCACATGGTGACTCTCTATTCTTGACTACATTTCCCAGAATCCACCTTGACTCCTAGTCCCACCTATCTTGCTTCCCTATTGGCCAACAGTGCTTTATTTATAAACCAATAAGACAAACATATACATAGAAGGACTTCCCCTATCAGAAGGTCATCTGGGATCTGTACAGCCTTGTTAAACATCAGTACTTTCTGTATTGAGGAGAGTGGTTAGCTCCAATTGTCTGTGAATTCAGTAAGAGAAATGTCTACACAACAGCTACACCTCACTTTGAGCAGCCCTGTGAGAAGGACCTGTAGGTTATCTTTCGTGAGAGCAGCAGACAAGCGGATGAAATGTTTCTTCTCAGTATTAAATTACTGGCTGCTTAGTTTGAGTTTTAAACACAACATCTTTCTCCTTTCAAAATCCTTCCTTTCTTCCTCTCTCTCTCTCTCTCTTTCTCCCTCCCCCCTCTCTCTCTATCATTCTTCCTTTCCAAGACAGAGTTTCTCTGTGTAGCCTTGGTTGTCCTGGAACTTACTTTGTAGACCACACTGGGCTCAAACTTACAGAGATCCACCTGCCTCTGCACGCTGGGATAAAAGGTGTGTGTCACAATGCCTGGCTAGGCACAGCATCTTTGAAGATCAATAAATAGACCTAAAACTGGAAGATGGGGTTGACAGAAAAAACAAAAACAAAAAACCCGGTTTCCTTGTCAGTTAGGTTAAAGAAAAAATAAAACAATTTCCTTAGCATTTTTGGCATCATGTGGGACCCCAACATGTTTGGAATCTTGCTCATATTTATCAGGGATTATAAGAATTTTACATGACTTGTGGAAGTTTCCAAAATCTTGGCATTTATGAGTTCACAAAGTACTTAAAACACAGCAAAGCCCCTTGAGTTCACCTCATAGTAGCTCCTGACCTTGGTAATATGTTGGGGAGAAATGGGAAGGCTGTGTAAAACCCAAGTTGAAATTCCTGAAAATTTAGTTTGAGGCCCAAGAAAAGTTTGATGAAAAAAAGGAATCATCTTACAAAGAGTTAAGAAGCTGAGAAAGGAAGGAAGAAAGGAAGGGAGGGAGGAGGAAGGAGAGAATTGAGATGTGGAAATTAAGAGCAGGAAGCAGGAAGAATTTGGACTCTTCTCCCATTTCTAAGCCTGAGATGCCCTATGTGGACATCTTTGAAGTTCAAGTCTCCCCTACACCTGCCTCCAACTGCAGGATGGAGGCATCGTAGCGTCTCTAGGTCAGCTTCATGAAAAAATCAACGAGATGAGGAACATGTTCAGCTCTCTGGAGAACAAGGTAGACTGACTCAGTTCTAGTCCTTGGGGTGGGCTTTGGCCTGTCAGATCAGAGAGCTGAAGAGATTACAGGTTAAGATAGTGTCTTTCAAGTCATTTTATTCACAAGGTTGAGCTGGTCTGCAAGGCCAGTCTGCCTCTAGCTGAAGATGGCTTGAAGAGCCCAGGTGTCTCACATAGGACTCCTCATCTTAGCCATGTGTGCACACACACCCCCCACACACATCATGTGTGTGCACATACATAGTAATCATAACTACTGAAAATGATTGGAATTGAAAGTAGATCAGTGGTGGTACTCTGTAGCCTCTGAGCTCCAGTTGCTTCATAGGCTCTCCTTATTCTCCTCAGAACAATCACTTCTGGTTCCTCTTATTTCTCCTCATTCTCAGTCCCAGAAGAAACCACTTGTGAAAACAATAGAATCCTTGGGGCTGTGGAGATGGCTCATAGGTTAAGAGCACTGGCTGTTCTTCCAGAGGTCCTGAGTTCAATTCCCAGCAACCCCCTCCCCCCAAAAAAGGAAAACAAAGAACCCACACATCTGTATTTAAGAGATATGGTATAGGACACTAAGCTAGAGCAGAAGATAGTGGAGCAGCTTGGAATCATTTGGATGAGTTGGTTTTGCAGAAGTATGAACATGTAGGCACATCTGTGTGGATTGTCACAGTGCCTGTGCTTTACCTACAGCTCGTTGCTTGGTAGAAAATAGTTAAATTCTGTGAATATGTACATGTCTGTATGTGTGTTTGTGTGTGTGAGCACAGTGCCAGAGCAGGCTGGGAGAGGACTTCTGGTCCCCTGGAGCTGGACTTAGAGGCAGTTGTGAGCTGGCAGCAAACTGCTCTATGAGAGCAGAAAGTGCTCCCGCTGACTGAGCCGGCTCTCCAGACATGCTATTGTCAGTTACAGAATGAGCCTTCTGAATATTTCTGATGGAGGAGAGATGTGGACCTAAGAGTTCTATGTCCAATTGGATCATGAAAATCAAGACAACGATGCCATCTTACTGTTGTCTGTTGAGGGTCTTTTACATTTGCTCTGTAAAGAAAACAGATCTTTAGAAGTGTGCCCTTCTCTCCACAGCTCTGTTTGAGTCTACCCTTTTGATTCACCACCTAGAGAGGAAATAAATAAAAAAGCTTGGAGCACCTCTGTACCAAGCATGTGTGTAGAGGCTCCTTATCTGCACTTGCTTATTTCATACTCAATACAACTTCCTAAAATAGGTGTCATTATTATAACTATGGATAAGCAAACTACTACCCAGAGACTGGCCAATTTGTCCTCATATATCACTCTTATGTGAGAAAGCTAGGATTTATACCCTACCTGACTCCAGAATTGATCTCTTCATAGTGTTTAATCAGCAAATGGACAGTGATTGCTCTCCCCCATGCTCTGGCCTTGCTACTGAAGGTGACTCACATCAAAGCCCGTTGTTAAAAATGCCACTACCACCCAGCAGTGGTGACATCTGCCTTTAATCCCAGCACTCAGGAGGCAGAGGCAGGTGTCAAAATTCAAGAAGGAAAAACCTACCTTTTTCTTTTCAAAGAAATTCCTACTATTATTTATTACTCTACTTTTTAAAAAGACATATTTTTTGTTATTTTGTTGTTTGTGTGTCTGTGTGATTGAATGTATAGACACGTATGCAACGGCCTGTAAAGGTCAGAGGTGTCAGAGCCCCTGCAGGTAGAGTTGCAGATGGTTGTGAGCTGCCCGACACGGGTCCTCTAGAAGAGCGTCAAGTGCTCTTAACCACGGAGCCAGCTCTTGAGCCCCTGTCTCATCTGTCTCTTCTTTGGGGGGGGAAAGAGCTGGATTTCTTTATATCCAGGTGATAATCAGAGAGACTCTGGCATATCACTCCTCTCACAGAATTTAGGTGCTGGATCAGGATTGCCTTTTTACATACATATGTTATTTTCTAAGTAAGTCTCATTTCTTTTCTCTCTCTCTTTTTTTTCTTTTTGAGACAGGGTTTCTCTGTGTAGCCTTATCTGTTCTGGAGATCTCTCTGTAGAGCAGGCTGCCTTGAACTCACAGTGATCTGCCAGTGCTGGGATTAATGGTGTGTTCTACCACCACCTGGTTTAAGTATGCCCCATTCTTATATCAAGGACTCTTTAATCGTGCAGTGTTCACAAGTACCTGTGAACCAGCTGCTCGTTTTGTAGTCACTTGTCAATGCACACTACATAGATGACCTTTTCCTTGGACAAATGGGGCGAGTCACCTAAAAGATTCCAGAGGTGGGTAAATGAAGCATCTGATATTTTTCGAGAGCTTGTTTTCTCAAAGAAAGGAAAAGGTCAAGGGTCAATGGTGTCATTTATGATAACTTACGGCAAGTCAGGCTCACTCTTCCTGAATCACTTAGTTGCAGGCCCTGGCCTCGGAACTAAAAACTGGCTTCACGGAAGCAATGCAGGAACTGACACGCATCCAACATGGAGAATACGCTTTGGAGGAGAAGGTCAAGAGCTGTAGATGCTCCATGGAAGAGAAAGTAACCGAGATGAAGAATTCATTAAACTACTTCAAGGTGGGAGCCTCCTTTATTTCCCTGAAGGACTATGTCAGTACCAGTACCAAAAGCAGGGAATCTGCCTTTCTCGTAGCAGCCCAGGGAAGAGCTTTCCCTCTGTGCCGTATGTGAGTCACCATGGAACAGTATCTATCTCATGGCTTTCAGCTTCTGAGCTCTGTGTTAAAATTAGAGGCCACAATGAAAACAAATTTTGTACTTTATTCCCTGTTGACCCCAAAGTATGCACGGTAAAGGCTTATAGGATGGCAGACCTATGTTCTCTTATCTCATTTTCTTGGTTAGGGTTTCTATTGCTGTGAAGAGACACCATGACCACATGAACTCTTATGAAGGAAAACATTTAATTGGCTCACAGCTTCAGAGGTTTAGTCCATTATCACCGTGGCTGGACATGGTGGCTGCAGGCAGATATGGTGCTGGAGAAGGAGCTGAGAGGGGAGAAGGAGCTACATCTTGATATTGTAGGCAACAGGAAGTGGTCTGAAACACTGGCGTGGCTTGAATATATATTAGACCTCAAAACTGGCCTCCACAGTTGCCGGGTCCTGTCTGTATTAGCCCCTCATTTCGGAGGAGAGGGGCATACATTGTAGCCTGATGTCTTCAGGGCTGTGATCGGTCCTGTTCCTGAGTGGGGGAGTGCGGATGAAGGATGGCTAGCTATGGGCATTAAAGAAAAGACAGAGACATAGGATAATATCAGGAGGGCCGAGTCAGTCAATACTGAAAGCCCAGTTTATTCATGCATCATCTTAAGTAACTATCCAAAGGTGGGGACAATGGCAGAAGACATCTATTATCATGTATAAAGGGCAGATAGCAATTACTTCCCTTAATCCTAAAGATACTCATGTACACTGGCCTCCAGGCACTCCATAGCTGCATTCTCCTGGGCCTAGGTCTATTGTTATTTAGAAAGGAGCTATTCACCTCTGAGCCAGGACATCCTGCAGCCATTAGCTGACATCTTAAAGACAATAGAAGTTAAGGGTCTCTAAACTCATGGCAGAATGGAATAGATTTCCAATATACCCCCCCCACACACATACACATACAGTGACACACTTCCTCCAACAAGGCCATACCTATTCCAATGATGCTGCACCTCTTAATGGTGCCACTCCCTACAAACTTATGGGGCCAATTACATTCAAACTGCTAAACCCATGTGCCAGTCTAAAATGTAGCAATTCTTATGTTGTAGGAAGAACTGAGCAATGCAATGTCCATGATTCAGGCCATCACTTCCAAACAAGAAGAAATGCAACAGAAAATCGAACAGCTTCAACAGGAGAAGCGAAGAGAATCTCGAAAGGTTAAAGCCAAGTGAGTATCTTGAGAACATTTACCCCAGGCAAACCCATAAGCAACAACTCTTGCGCAGAGGCCCTGAGAAAACTTCCAGCTATTAGCACATAAAGGAATGGGCTCCTGAGCAGCATAGGTCAACCTGTGCTGGAAGAGATGAAGCTGTACAAGTTGGTTAATACTGGGCTGGAGAGATGGCCCAATGGTCAAGAGCACTTGTTGCTCTTACAGAGGACCAGAGTTCAGTTTCCAACATCACGCCAGGTCTCCCAAATGCCTGTAACCCCAACTCTGGGGAATCTGATACCCTTTTCTGGCCTCTGCAGGCAAGTGCAGGCATGTTCGTGCTCGCGCGCGCGCGCGCACACACACACACACAAAGCACACTTGTCATATATCCATAAGGCCTTTTGAGTACCAGAATATGGATTTTCAGGACTCACATAAATGTTATGTGGAGGTTTAATCTAGTTAGTGAGACTAGTCATATTGGTGAGCTTTGGGTTTGAAGTAAGGTAGAGAGTGATGGAGGACAATTCACAACTTCAAGTCTAGGCCTCCACATGCATGAACAGACACCCACATATATGTGCCCACATGCCACCTATGTGCCCTTGTGCAGAAATGGAGAACAATGCTACTGTTTTCTGGTACTTGGGGTTGAGTTGTTGAGTGAGTGTAAGTCATCCCAAGCAAGTCTCCAACACTGCAAACTTCAAAGACGCCGATAAGAGCCAGGCATGGAGACCATGCCTTTAATCCTAGCAGTCAACAGAGGCAGGAGGATCTGTAGAGCAAGGGTCACCAAAGCAAGTCCCAGGCTAGCCAGGGCTACACAGTGAGCCCGTTGTCAAAAGCGAACATCAAAACAAAACCAAAGATCCTGGTGATAGGGAAAACAGTCATAGAAAACTAAGAATGAAAACATTACAATTAGGAGTGATTTATAGATAGTTGAATCATTTATAATTTGTAAAAAACACATTTATATGGTTCAACCTATGTGTGCCTTGGCAACATATTAAAACGAACAACACAAAAAACATTCATTCTCTGACATGATCCTGAACTGAGCCAACCCCAAATCTACTGGGTGTTAAAAACCAAAGCATCCTTTCTGTTGTCTCCTCTGCCAGGAAGGCCCAAAAGGAAGAGCATGGCACACAGGCTGGACCTGCGTCTGCGCCTGCGCAAGCGCAAGGGAGCCCCTTCCGCTCCATCAATGTCCCCGAGTCTGGTCTCCCCAGTGAAGACTTCACCAACATTTTGCCTTCTCAGACCTATGAAAAAGGTACAGCTCATATACCATGGGAAATTAATCACACTTCTTTCTCCCTGATTCCCAGAGCTTGAGTAGAAGTGGGAATGGACTCCCGTTCTGCATCCTTCTCAGAAGAAAAAACATCACCAAAATGCCAGAACTTTCCTGGTATCTAGACTTTGGAAGGCATTAGATGACCTCTGGTTCTTGACAGATTTCCCATTTTTAAATGTTTTTGTTTTGTGGAAAATGCTAATTTGGCTTCTTCTAATTGTCAATTAGATAAACAATAATTTGGTGCAATCAATACTATACCAACCATGAGAGAACTAGATATATTTAAAAAGTCACTTTAAAAAGTTGTTTTCTGGTAGTGTAACTCAGTATCTGTGTTTCTCTGGAAAAATCAGGCTAGTGCTGTGTGTAGGCTGAAGCAGCCACCAACCACTTCCTGTAAAGATGTGAGAAATACGTCACAAGATGGCATGCTGGCGGCACCAAAGGAGTTGACTTTTCAAGGGTTGTGATTCTGTCCCTATGCTCAAATCAGGAAAAATAAAACAAATCGAAATTTGCTGCATCGTTATGTGCTCAAGAGTGTCCAACAAAGCACACATAAAGAAAAATGAATGTAGAAATTACCATAGTTTGAATCCCCATCTTCTTGTTTTGGTCTTATATGGAAAATCCTCCAAAAGTAGGCTCGATGAGTTTTTCCAATCAAGTGTAAACACCTCAATGTTAGGGTTGATGGTTTTCTATCCTCACGGCCCAGGAAGAACTTGTTTTTACCTATTCATAGACAGTGAGTATGTTATGAACCTAGAATCCTAGGGCAAGTGACTTTCACTTGGTGGACTTCTAAGTGCAGAGTTGCTTATTACTTCTTTTAGTAGTCAGCGAGTGCAGCCTGGGGGACAGGTGTTGGATCCATCTAAGAGGGGTCCTGTTTTCTTGGCTCTATGATGTGATGATGTGATGAGTAAGACTCGTCAAGTTGACCATTCAGGAATAGAGTATAAGATGGGCTTGGATAAGTGGTCAGATCAGTACCAGGTCTGGGGCAGCTGTGTGTGTTTACATGATAGAACTTAAAAAATAGATTTGCAAAGAAAATTTGTGCATCTCTATACTATATGTGACGGCCCTTAGGATTTTTTTTTTCAGTTTTTCAAGACTGGGTTTCTTGTGTAGTCCCGGCTGTCCTGGAACTCGCTCTGTAGACCAGGCTGGCCTCTAACTAACAAAGATCCTCCTGCCTCTGCCTCCCAAGTGCTGGGATTGAAGGTGTGCGCCACCACCGCCCAGCTTATCTGTGGGATTTCCCAGCCCAGTTTTCCCACAACAAACAGGTGATACAGGTGACTGCATTGCCTACGTGCATTTATTTATTTACTTAAAATGTTATTTATTATTACTATTATTATTTTGTATGACTGCAAGTGAATAGGTACCACAGCATGGGTATGGAGGCTAGTAAGCAACTTTCGACTGTGGTTCTCTTTCCACCATGAATTTCAGATCAAATTCAAGTCATGAGGCCTGTGTGGCAAGCACTTTTCTCTGCTGAACCATTTCACAAGCTGGATTTAAATGATCTCACTGGCAACCTTTCCCTCCCTCCTTGTGATATCGACATCCTCATAGTTTGTTCTCCCCACTGCTGCAAAAATTTTGAAATTTTGTCTTTCCTAATACCTCATGCATACAATTGGTGGCAGCTCATATTAAGATTCAGGGTTAAAATGCCAAACCCTCAGAAAATTTGGTTTATCCTTTTTTTTAATGATACAATGGTATGATTGTTGTCTGTTATCCCCGAATTCAGTAGCTTCAAGCAGCAAACATTCATTATTACCTCAGTTTCTCTGAGAGCACAACTGATCTGGGTACTACTCACTCATGTCTGTCATGAGGTAGGTGGCCATCAAAGTGCTGGCCACAGCTATGGTCATGTGAGGGCGATACTCAGAGGACGTCTTCTTCCAGACTACCCACACGGTGTGGTAGTCCCTGTGATATGGGCACCTGGCTGCCCTCTGCCCCCTGCCTGGGGTATTGGTCTAACAGGATGCTTAAAATAAAAGCTGTAGCTTTTAACAACCTCCTCTCAAAAGAGGCAGCTCTGCTTTCCTGCCATGTTCTATTACTCAGGAGATCATCACTAAACCCAGAGTCACTCACAGGAAGGAATCGCAGGGTGGGGATGCCTAGCCATCTTAGATGCTGTTTTCTACAAATGGCTAACCTTTATTTTCTTTCTTTTTAAAAATATTTATTTTTAATTTTGCTAAATTAAATATACATGTCCACATGTGTGTATGTGAATGTAAGTGCAGCAGAGACATCAGATCCCCTCGATCTGGAGTTACAAGAAGTTATATGGTGTCCAGCGTGGGTGCTGGGAAATGAACTCAGGTCCTCTACAAGAGTAGTATGTGCTCTTAACCCCAGAGTTCTGCCTTCATTTTAAAAGATATCCTGCAGATGTGGATCCTCTGATATGAAGGTTCTTTCATATACATTAGAATTAAAAAGCTTGAAATGTCATTTAAGAAGGAGGTAATATTCTTTTTTCAGGTTATTTTATTTTATGTGTGTGAATGTTTTGCTGACATGTATGTGTACCACATGTATGCCTGGTGCTCATTGGGTCAGAAGGAGGTGGGGACTTTGGAACTGTAGTTACTGAGGGTTGTGCACCACCGTATGGAACTGTAGTTACTGAGGCTGTGCACCACCGTATGGAACTGTAGTTACTGAGGCTGTGCACCACCGTATGGAACTGTAGTTACTGAGGCTGTGCACCACCGTATGGAACTGTAGTTACTGAGGGTTGTGCACCACCGTATGGAACTGTAGTTACTGAGGCTGTGCACCACCGTATGGAACTGTAGTTACTGAGGGTTGTGCACCACCGTATGGAACTGTAGTTACTGAGGCTGTGCACCACCGTATGGAACTGTAGTTACTGAGGCTGTGCACCACCGTATGGAACTGTAGTTACTGAGGGTTGTGCACCACCGTATGGAACTGTAGTTACTGAGGCTGTGCACCACCGTATGGAACTGTAGTTACTGAGGCAGTGCACCACCGTATGGAACTGTAGTTACTGAGGCTGTGCACCACCGTATGGAACTGTAGTTACTGAGGCAGTGCACCACCGTATGGAACTGTAGTTACTGAGGCTGTGCACCACCGTATGGAACTGTAGTTACTGAGGCTGTGCACCACCGTATGGAACTGTAGTTACTGAGGCAGTGCACCACCGTATGGAACTGTAGTTACTGAGGCTGTGCACCACCGTATGGAACTAGTTACTGAGGTTGTGCACCACCGTATGGAACTGTAGTTACTGAGGCTGTGCACCACCGTATGGAACTGGGAACTGAACCTGCAAAGGCAACAGGGCTCCTAATTCCTGAGCCATCTCCCCTTACAGAGCTAAGTGAGACCTTTAGACTCTTCCAGTCTTCAAGAAGTTTTTTTTTAACTGCAGCTATCCTCCCAAATCCTTCTTCTTGTTCAGAACATTTGATAGCTAACTCCCTTTTTATGTTATACATCTTAGGCATTGTCCCCGCTACCCACTTATATTCCCAGGTCGAGAAGTTGACTTTTTTGAAGGATGTGGTTCCACCATCTATTTCTTCTTAATTATGTCCTATGTATTCAGCCATCTGAATGTTGGCACCTACTCTTACAACTCCACTAAAGCCTGGTGTTGGTGGCACTTGCCTTTAATCCCAGCACTCAGGAGGCAGAGGCAGGCAGATCTTTGTGAGTTCGAGGCCAGCCTGGTCTACAAGAGCGAGGTCCAGGGCAGCCTCCAAAGCCACAGAGAAACCCTGTCTCAAAAAAACCAAAAAAAAAAAACCTCACAACTCCACAAAAGCTGTTTCCTTACACATTCTTGTTCCATAGAATTTTTTTTAAAATTAAGATCCTATTTATTTATTGGGGTGAGTATGTGGAAGTCAGATGGCAACTTTGTGAGAATCCATTCCCTCTTGCTGGGACTAGAACTCAGGTTGCCTGGCTTGGTGACAAGTGTCTTTGCCCTCCTTCCTGTCTGTGTTGTCTTCTGATGCCTTCAATACCTGCTTTCTCAAAGAGTTCTCTTCTGTCGGCTGACACCAAGTTCCTCTGACTTCCTAATATTCTCTGCCTACTCACACATTTCTCTTTTTGGTTTCTCACTGCTATCAGAATCAAAGTCTAACTTCTTTGTTTTGACTTTCAAGGCAGAGTTCCCCTGTGTAGCCTAGAATTCGCTCTGTTGACCAGGCTGGCCTCAAACTCAAAGAGATCCACCTGCCTCTGTGTGTGCCACCACTGCCCCGCAAGTCTAAACTTCTTCACACTGTTTCCAGGGCCATGTGTTAACTATATACATAAAGCTCTGCTTTTTTCTTCTCTTTGGTTGTCTCTGTTTCTACCTCTTTAGTCCACCTACCCCAACAGTCTTTAGGCCTTGCTGTCTCATATATCCTATGGCCTCTGGACCCTGACATGAGATCGTCCCACTGCTCATCTCCGTCTGTTTCTTCTTTCCTAGTTCATCCACACCAGGCTGCTTCTTGTCTTAGGGTCCAATTGGAGATACAGACAGGGATGAAGTAGGAATGGGTCTTATTTCATTGAGACTTCGAAGATGGGTTATCATCTGAAGGCTCTCTTTCACCCTTCCCTCCCTCCCTCCCTCCCTCCCTCCTCCCTCTCTCTCTCTTTCTTTCTTTTTTGGTTTTTTTGAGACAGGGTTTCTGTCTGCCTGTCTTGGAACTAGCTCTTGTAGAGATCCACGTGCCTCTGCCTCCCAAGTGCTGGGATTAAAGTGTGTGCCACTACTGCCCAGTGAGGCCTTGCTTTCTTAGAACCAGCAATAACTCTAGGATGATATGGAGGAAGAACACAAGAGGGTGGGGGTGTGGGGAGGGGTGGGGAGGGTGGGGGATGGGGAATCATGTGTAGAGTCAAGCAGTCTTGGTCAAATTGTAGTCTGCCTCAGAGGGTCTTGTTGGAGCTAAAGAGATGATTATCTGCATGGCTTCTTGTTTCTGGAATGGTCGATAAGATGTGGAGGTGAAGTGACTCAGAGAAAGAATGCCTAGAGGAGAGTTAGTTGGGTGTTCACTAGAAACCCTTCAGGGTTAGGAAAATGACAGGGACTTGTAGGGGCCGCTCCAGTGGCCCTGAATGGGATGCTGTAAAATCTGGTGCCCTGCAAGTCTAGAAAACACCCAATTCTTATCTTGATGTCCTCTGCCTTGAAGGGGGACAAGCAGAGCTGGTATGCAAATTTCGGATCAAACAACCATGTGTTGTGAGTTTTAAACAGTCATTCCATCAATGATCATGTCTACACCCAGAGTTGAACAGGAATCTGACCTGAGTTTAAGGCAGCAAAGGAGACAGATGCAAGAGGAGGGCAGGGCGCCAGGCGTCCACTGTATTTTCATTCACCTGCTGGACACCTCTATGACCCTGTTGCCATCTTAATGGGAACATGAATAACATTCTCAGAAAATAACAAGAAACCAATGGTCTCAAGCAGTAGATGGGGTGGTGGTAGGAGAGGCAGTTCAAAAGGGAGCAGCAAGTGCGGGCCCAGAGAAATATTCCAGGACTTCGAGCTCATAGGATGATTTGGGCTTTTTCACAGAAAACGAAGCTGTTGGAAAGGTAAGCAGAGCAGAGAGCCACTGAACACAAATCTGCTCCTTTTGCTGTCATCATCATCACCACTGCCATCCCTACCACGGGTGAACAGTAAATTGGCTCTTACAGTATGCTGAGTACTACTTGAAGAACCTTGCGTATTTACCTATTGAATTCTTTCCTTTCTTTTCAAGACAGGGTTTTTCTGTGTAGCTTTGGAGCCTATCCTGGCACTCACTCTATAGACCAGGCTGGCCTTGAACTCACAGAGATCCGCCTGCCTCTGCCTCCCGAGTGCTGGGATTAAAGGCGTGCGCCACCACCCGGCTAAGCTATTGGATTCTTATGGTAGCTGCTTGAGGTAGATATTACTTAGTGAGCGTCATTAACAGTTGAGGAACTGGCATTGACCCCATTGTACTGCATCACTCCCTGCTGTCTCTCATCAGTCGTGAATGAAACTATAAAATCTGTGAGTCTGTCTTTGTCCTGAGTTGTAGAAGTTGCTTGATCCGTGTTGGTAGAATGGATGCTGAACTAAGCTTTCCTTTCTCTGCAGCCCAAGAGTCCAGATCTGTTCACGTAGGAGATGGCAACGTGAAGGGAGTGACCAGTCCTGGTAAGGGCTTCTTCTTGGTTTAAGTTCATTATGATACGAATGTATAACATGTGTGTGCACATGCTACGATAACTGTGTGGAGTTGGTTCTCTCATTCCACCTTTATGGTTTCTAGGAATTGAACTCAAGTTGCTGAGCTTGAGACCAGCCTTTACCTGCTGAGTCAATGAACAGGTCCAGGCACCTTCCCTACTCTACTGGCCTGTCCTGGACCAAGTGGGAAAGGACTCAGACATGTGAATCAGTTTCTTGACTCTGACAAATACCTGAGAAAAGTCACTTCAGGTCGGAGACATTTATTTTAGCTCCTGGTTTCAAAACAAGGTCAGCTCACTTTGTTGCTACAGACATTAGATAAGCAGAACAGCATGATGGGAAGCCTGTGACTTAAGATGTTGTTTACTTCACGGCACCCAGGAAGCAGAGGGAATCACAGAAAGGCGTTGGGGACTAGGTACACATTACTGGGGTATATCCTCAATGACTAGTTTCTCCCAGATATGCCCTACCTTTTGTGGTTTCATCACCTCCCAATAGTCTAAAAATGGAATCCACTGTTGGATTAACTACTAGTGAGGATTAACTACTAGTGCATCAAGGATCACACCTTCAGTCCATGACGGTTGGTGAGGCACTTCCCACTCAAATCATAGCACTGGACAAGAATGAGCATCGTCTTCACTCGAGGAGAGCTGGTAACTTATAAGAACAAATCAGTGTTTTTAATTCTTTCTTGTTCCAGTTACTAATAAGATAGCATTTGCTGAAGTCTCACAACTTTTTCTTTTTCTTTTTTTTCCTCCTGGAATTCACTCCGTAGATCAGGCTGGCCTCAAACTCACAGAGATCCACCTGTGTCTTGCCTCCCGAGTGCTGGCACTAAAGGTGTGCACCACCACCACCCAGCTATAAATTTAGTTTGCATCACATACTTTATAGTTTAATCGAAAATTTACTTCATTGATAATTCACCAGAATTTATGTATTATTTAATCTTCCCTGCACTCCTTCCTTTTTCCGTTTCTTCCAACTAAGTATCCATAAGATAAAAGGACTAAATAACAAACGAAACTCCCCCCCCACCCTTGGGTGCCGTGCCTTCCCTCTCTTCCTTCTGTTCTTCCTTCTAACAGTGCTGCTGACACCTCCAGTGTTTACTTAAAGTAAGTAGATACCTGGAGCCAAACTTGTTGTTTTAAATCATACTATGCTATAACTTTTCTAGTCTAGTAGTCTAGTCTATTGAGTCACAGTCTCATGTATGGAGCCTGACTGGCCCTGAACTTTCTGCAAAGCTAAGGATAACATTCAATTCCTGATCCTTCTGCCTCCATCTCCCAAATTAGTTACAGGCATATACCACCATGATGGGATTTTTAAAACTTCCTTATTTTGTAGCATCCATGTTAAAACAAACCAACAAACAAACAAAACAAAAAAAAAAACAAAATAAAACAAAAAAAAACCAGGAGATGTTTGGACCAGAAAAAAGAGAGATGTTACTGCTTGTAGTTTGGGAAAATTTTAACCCTTCATTGAGCTAGCAGTATATTAATTAAGAACTAGTAACAAACGCTATTTTCTTTTTCAAAAAAGTAAGTTCTTAGAACTAGAGAGATAGCTCTGAGGTTGTTAAGAGCACTGACTGCTCTTCCAGAGGTCCTGAGTTCAATTCCCAGCAACCACATGGTGGCTCACAACCATCTAGAGTGAGATCTAGTGCCCTCTTCTGGCATGCAGGGATATATGCAGGCAGAACACTGTATACGTAATAAAAAATAAAATCTTAAAAAAATAGTTCTTTCTAGCAGGCATTGTTTTTCAGGAGTGAACCCAACAAATCCAGAAGCAGATGAAAACCTTAATAAGCCTTCTCTCTCAGCTGAGATCCAGTCCAAGGGCCATCACACACCTGGCCTGTGGAGACAGCCTAAGGATGGCAAAGAATGGGGAGAAGAATGCGTCACGAAAGATCACCCCGATAAGCTCAGGGAGGCCGGCCAGGGTAGACACAGCTCTTTGGAAAATGTTTTATGTGAAACCTCTTTAGCTGGTAAGTTCTGAGGGAGAATGTGGGTGGAAATAGGGAAGAATGAGGTATATGAGAGTTTGGAACAGAAGGACCAGAACTCCAGCAGTGTAGGTGGAGTGAGCACATGACACCAGAACTCCAGCAGGGTAGATGGAGTGAGCACATGACACCTCCTTCTGTCTTTTCAGGGTGAGGCCCCTCATGCCTACAGAGGCAAAGGGACTCGGCAGAAGTCACATACCCTGATGGGACCCCCACCTCGACCCTGGGTATTTATGACATTCTTCGGTAAAAAAAAAAAAAAGCTATGGCTCTTGAAGAAAATCTATTTAGTCAGTGATTTACAGGCTGGCTCAGCAGTTGTGAGCACTGGCTGCTGTTCCAGAGGACCCAGGTTCAATTCCCAGTGCCCACATGGCAGCACACAGCTGTCTGTAACTCCAGTTCCAGTGTATCTAACACCCTCACACAGGCATACATGCAGGCAAAACACCAATGCACATAAATAAATTTTAAAAAGAATTTGCCATATGCCAATCATTTATTAATAGTCTGCTACCCAAGTGTCCAATGCTGCAATAAGCCCTGTGTTCCTTCCTCCTTTTATTCTCTCCTCCCTTTCTTTTGTGGAGTGAGTGAGCACTCTCCACATTTGGAGGGAAGTAATTTTTTAAAATAGTATTTTTAGTCAAATACATGAAAATTAAATAGAACTAAAAACTTTTAAATTATTATAAACAAGAAACATGAGCAGTCACTTTGAATTCCTTCTGACAGTTTCTCTTGGTACTGTGTCTTAATTCCTTTTTTGTTGCTGTGTAGAACACCACAGAAATCATTTACTTTGGCTTCCAGTTTTAGAGGTCATGACGGTGGAGCAATGACAAGGCTGAGAGTTCACATTGTGACCCACAAGCACAAGTCAGAGAGAGAGAGAGAGAGAGAGAGAGAGAGAGCACAACCATGAGTCCTTCGAATCATCAAAACCCACCCCCCAGTAACACACCTCCTCCAAGAAGGCCACACCCCCAATCCTTCCCAAACAGTTCCACAAATTGGGGGCCAAGTGTTCAAACACATGAGCCTATGGGGGCCATTCTCATTCAAACACCACAACTTGCTTCATATTTTGTGCTATTTTATAAACAATACTTTGTTGAAAGTTAATTTACATCAAGTAAAATTCATGGAGCTACATTCAAACTTAAAAAAATTTTAATGTGTATGAGTATATGTATAGTGTGCATGTGTAGGTGTCCATGATACAATGCAGTGTACTATTGTGTGAGTGTGGACATTGTGTGGTAAGGCCCACTGAGCAACCTTGTGGGCCTCAGCTTATGAGTTTAAATAAATATTTTATTAATTCTTTGAGTGTTATTTTGATCATATTTATCCCCACCCCCCCTCTAACCCTTCCATGCCCACCCCTTTCCCCTCCATCCTGTGACAACTTTGTGTCCTAGTTTTGTTTTGTTTTTATAAAATGTCCAATTTGTGCTGCCCATAAGCTCCAGGCTATGGGGGTCAGTCACTTTCGAGCGCCATTCCTTTAAGGAGAACAGACTCACCCCCTTAGCTTGACTTTTTACATGTGAATATTGACTGTGATCACTATCAAGATCAACATATATTTCTCTTATGCTAGGAATTTCTCTCATGCTTCATTTTAGTCAACATCTATGTAAAGAATCACTGTGAGTACTATATAGTTTCATCTGTTCTTGAACTTCATATGAATGGGATAACACTTCATGTATCCTTTTTTTCCTGTTATCTTTCTCTCAGTATGTGTTTTTGAGATTCATCTACATTGTTGCATGTAATTCATTTAGTAGTTAGTTCTTTTTGTTTGTTTGTTTGTTTGTTTTTTGAGACAGGTTTTCTCTGTCTTGTTTTGGAGGCTGTCCTGGAACTTGCTCTGTAGACCAGGCTGGCCTCGAACTCACAGAGATCCGCCTGCCTCTGCCTCCCGAGTGCTGGGATTAAAGGCGTGCACCACCAACGCCCGGCTAGTTAGTTCTTTTTTATCAACTTCACTGCATGTCATTATCACATTTTTAAAAAAACATAATCCAGAGCCAGAGAGATGGCTTAGTGGTTAAGAGCACTGGCTGCTGTTCCAGAACACCCAGGTTCAATTCCCAGCACCCACATGGCAGCTCACAACTCTCTGTAAACTCCAGTTCCAGGGGATCCAACCCCCCATATATATATATATATATGCAATATACCAATGTATATAAAATAAAAGTAAATTATTAAAAGATTGCATCCAGTAATTGTTAAGTGGGTAGAATATTTTACCTATCTTTTTTAGAATATTAATTGTAAGATTTAATTTTTACATACATATGTATTTGTTTTCATTCTCCTATGGTATATTCTTATTCAAATATCTCAGTATCCTTAATTATTTATATGTTCAATAAAGATTATTGTTGTTCTTTTGCTGCAGTGACCCTTAAAGAAACATGAACTGTGAACCAACAAACCCACGTGCAGTTTATTGGGGTTGGCCAACCAGGAGCAGAGAAGGGGGGGAGGAGGGTATGATCTTAAAAGGGGAAGCTTGTGCATGTGCACTGAGCCCCATAACGAGTGACATAGCGATGACATGGCCACGCCACAGTGCATGCCCCCCCCCCCCCGTTGTTAGGGAGCGGAGTCAGCATGGTGTTTAGTCCCAACAATCTCACCTCTTATTATTAAAAAAAAGGTGGGGAACTGGGCATGGCAAGTTAGGGAATAAGGGCACCGAGTTCTCAAGACTGCTTCCTGCTGACCTGGGAGACATTGGCTGTCTTCGGGGGACCTGAGAAAGCTGGGGTACTGCCACGTCCTGGAGTAGCTGGTTGCTCCATCGCAGTCCTGGCTGTGTGGAACTCTGGCGCCTCTTAGACCTGGCAAGATATGAGCAGAGTAGAGGACAAGACTAAGTTTGGAAAAATTTTTTTTCTTAAGTTCTGGTATCTGAAGTGAAGATTGTAAGATGAGGAAGGAGTTCCCGAGGGGGGGTCCCAAGATGAGGAGAGTTTGAATAATACTTATTTGGAGTGAATATGACCTGTTTGGTAGGTCCGATTCTGCTCCATGGAACTTACAAGACTCCTTTGAGTTTGTGAAAACATAAGTATTAGACACATTAGCAGCACATTTATGTTAGAGACGACTTGACTGACAGCATTAACATTTTAAAAGCTGACAGATATTTTTAGCACAATAAAAGCACCGTAATTTTGAGCTTGCAGTTATGATTGTATAGTGGTATTGTTTGGTGTTTAGTGCCCTGTCAGAGTTGGATTCATAGCTTATTAGACTGTATGGAATTTTTCTGGTTACCTTTTCTCAGGACGCACAAATGTTTGGTGGTCTTTGTGTCTCTAGATCTGTGGCTTCCAGATGGCATTCCTATAACAACATCTAACCTGTTGGATTAGAAGTTTTGAATGAGTTATTGAGGGATACACAGGACATTGATGAGTCAGGTGTAATTAGAAACTGGAGAGTTTAGATCAGCTCGAGGACAGGAAGGAAAGCAAAGGGGGTTTCCAGTCTGGCAGAGTGTGGTTGTAGGAGTGGAGCTTTTTCTTCTTAAATAGGAGGCAAAGTAGTTGATCCTGGTGTCCTCCCAAGCTTAAGGGTTAGTATGCTCTACCTTCCCTGAGGACTGGGAGTGATATGGAATATGAAAATGCCAAGGGATGTTGGGAACGTTAGATAGGGTTTGGGAGATCTGAGAGGTGAACTCAGGACCACTGTCTGACTGAAGAGAGGCTGGACTTCCAAACTGGGGAATAATTTCCCTGAGAAGGATGTCAGAGACTGTCTGGGCTTTTTTGTTAGTAGTTGGAAACACTTCCTCCCATCCTGAGAAGGTATCATCTAGTACCAGGAGATATTTAACTCACTTGACTGTGTCCCTCTGAGACAGCCCCTGACCTGGTGGGTGGAAAAGGGGGACTACGATACCTGGAGTTAGGATCTGACATCTGACAGGTTTTACAAGAGGCAGTGATAGTTCTTAAGAAATGTAAGTCCCCAGGAGTGGGTTGGAGGTGAGTTTTGACAAAATGAGACAGAGCCTGACTGTTGGGGTGAAAGAGCTGGTGTAGACAGGACAGGATTTGTCGAGGGTCAGGAGGTGACTGAGGATGTGGGTTGTAGTGTATGAACTCCCTGTGGTGGGTGAGGTAGATCTGGGCCTCGGAGGGCTGCAGCCCTAGCTGCTTCATCAGCCCGGTTGTTGCCCCTAGAGATAATGGAGCTGTCAGTCTGATGAGACCGGCAGTGAATAATCCCTATAGCTTTGGGGAGGTGGGAGGTCTTTAGCACGGCCATAATACAACCTGAGTTAGTTATGGACCCTCCTTTTGTAGTAAGTAGCCCGAGCTCCTTTCCAGATAGCAGCATGGGACAGGAGGATATGAAAAGCGTATTTGGAGTCTGTGTAAACATTTAGGGAATGTCCCTGTACCAACTGGAAGGCATGGGTGAGGGCTACTAGTTCAGCCTGCTGGTTAGTAGTGTGGGCGGGGAGTGCCCGTGCCTCCACCACCCTGGTATCTGACACTGTGCTGTAGCCTGCTCTGCGGTCCCCCATGTAAAAAGGAGCTGCCCTCTGTGTACCAGGTGTAGGTGGCCTGAGGTAGTGTACCCTCCTGTGTGTGTGAAGGGTGGGGTAACAGTTCTTCTAGGGTTTCAATACGGGAAGGAGACAGAGAGTAGTTAGTGTTAGGTGAGGTAGAAGGTTTGAGATATTGAGGGGTGGGCAGGACTGGAAAGTAAGGGTGGCATCTTCTGCCAGCACCTCCTGGAGAGAAAGAACGCGAGAAGGGGGTAGAGTTTGTCAGCCTCTGTAAGTTAGGAGGTGAGACAGGTTGTGGTGGGAGAAGACAGTGGTGGGTGACCCAAAGGTGAGTTTCTTTGACTCACGAATGAGGAGCTCAGCAGCTGCTAAAGCGCATGTGCAGGGTGCCCACCCTTGGGTGGTTAGGTCTAGTTTCTTTGACAGATACGCTACCGTGTAAAGGACTGTCCCAGCTGGTGACCTAGAACTCCAAGGGCATGTCCCTCCTTTTCTGCTACATAGAGGAGAAAGGACTATTTGGTCTGGAGAAGATCCTGCTTGAGTTTCTGAAAGAGCTTAGCAACAAGTTTAAGGAGGGCTTCATATGGAGAGCCAAGAGCTGCCTCATACAGGGGACGAGCATGGAGAGAGTAGGAGGGGATCCAGGAGTGTAGGAAGCCAGCTATTCCTAGAAATGACAAAAATCCCTTTCTTTAGCAGAAGGAATTGCAAGAGACTGGATTAGGTTCTTTCTGTCTAATGTAGTAGCTTCGTGAGTTGGGGTGATGGTTAGTCCTAAGTAGGTGACCTGAGGAGTGGACAGTTGGATTTTAGAAGGTGAGACTCTTTAACCCCTGTTGGACAGGAAATTTAGAAGAGCGGAGGTGTCAGTCTGGCCAACTTCTAAGGATGGGCTGCAAAGGAAAATATCGTCTACATATTGTGTGAGCTTAGATTTGGGAAGAGACAGAGAGCAGGTTGGAAGCCATAACCTGGCCAAATAAGTGTGGGTTATCCAGGAAGCCCTGAGGTAGAACGATCCAGATAGCTTAGTGGAAGCATGAGTGTCAGGGTCAGTCCAGGTGAAAGCAAAGATACTTTGATACTGAGTGTCTAGAGGGACAGAGGACAAGCCATCCTTGAGACCCAAGACTGAGAAATGAGAGGTCCCTGAGGGGACAGTGGAAAGAAGTGTGTAAGGATTGGGTACCACATGACGGAGGGGACAACTGCAGAATTAATGAACTGGAGGTGTTGAACCAGGCGATAGGTCCCATTAGGTTTTTTTTAACTGCCAGTATAGGGGTGTTAAATTGAGAGGATATAGGACAAAGTAACTCTTTCCTCAGGAGGTCAGAGATAATAGGTTTAAGTTCCCTAAGGCTCTGGAGTGGGAGTGGGTACTGGAATTGAGTGATGTACCTGGAGGGGTATTCCCCCAAATCAATCAATCAATAAAGACCCCCCCACCTAATAACTTGGAATTTTGTATTATCCAAGTTTGTCAATAGTGAGTTTCATTATAAATATGCTTATTAGGTAGCAAATTTACATATTGGTAAGTGATCTCGTTATGTCCTGTCCTACTTGGGAAGCTCAGTGTATCAAGTAGCAGACTGCCACGTCTCCTGCCAAGAGTGTTGAAGGCTGACAGCTGGCACTCTGGGACTTGAAGGGAATGTGGTCAAGGTGTGTCTCTGTCTCATTAGCCACTCACTCTGGTTAGTAGTGTGGGCAGGGAGTGCCCGTGCCTCCATGCCCCTGGTATTTGACACTGTGCCATCTTTAGCTCAGGCTAGGGCTTTCCTAAGGCTGCTTCTCCCGTTTCTCATGGGGAACCAGGGTGCACCAGCCTGCAAGTGGGATTTGGAGGCTCTTACAGACTGACCTCCCTTGCTTCTGAGCACTCCCGTCTCCAGTCCCTACTGCTTCTCAGCAGGTTCTCTGTCTGCAGACACATGATTTTGTGTCCTCTGCTTTGCTGGATGAATCTCAGGCTTCCATTCTGCTTTTCGTCTCTCCTAAATATGCTGATTCCTCTCTCTCTCTCCTTCCTTCTGCCTCCCCTACTTCACTTCCGCTTTTCTCTTCGGTCTCAAGGGGCCCGGACTGGTTAAATATCTGAAGATGACCTTCAACTCTTGGATAACAAGTATGGCCGCCAAGCCTGGTTTATGTGATGCTAGGGGACACACTGCCAACTGAGCTTTTCCATGTGTTTTATTGATTTCTTGCCTGACAGTGTTTGGGAGGGAGCTGATTAACCAAAAAAAAAATGCCTTTGTGTTTGTTTTAAAGCAAAAAGGCAGACAGTGGCTCTGGAGCTGCTTGAATCTGAGCGGAAGTACGTCATTAACATCTCTCTGATACTGAAGATAAAGGCAACATTCCAGGGCTCAGATGGAAAGAGGAATTCCAAGGAGAGAAGGTACCCTGTGCTCATTACCTTTGCTTTTCAGATTGACTAGAACTTAAGGTAAGTCACTCACTGTTTCTACTTTGGGAACTCTGGGCCCTAGAGAGTCCCAGAAACAGTCTTTGGTAGGCAGTTAAGGCAAGTCTCAAACTTAGGTTCTCAGCAGGTAGGCAATGAGTAGAGTCTGTAGGACCTTCAGTCTGTGACTTGTCTGTTTAGAATAAAGTGAGACATTTCGTGTCCTCAGGGATGATAGACTTCATCAAAGTGCCAGGAAATGGAGGTGGTGAGGCTCTGAGTACAATGAGGGATGATAGAACTTTTGTTCAAGTGATCCCGTAGCACCAGGTACTGTGTAAGAGTGTGCACCTAGCCAGGCAGTGGTGTCGCACGCCTTTAGTCCCAGCTCTTGGGAGGCAGAGGCAGGAGGGTCTCTGTGAGTTAGAGGCCAGCCTGGTCTACAGAGCTAGCTCCAGGACAGCTAGGGCTACACAGAGGAACCCTGTTTCAGAAAAACAAACAAACAAACAAAAAGAGTGTGCACCTAGGTGTGTGTGTTGAGGGAGGGGGTAAGTGCTTCCAGCATACTGGCCCTATAAACGTCACAACATGTACCTGTTTATACTGTTTACTCCCTCTGTTGGGAGAGAATGGGAAAGAGAAAAGTAAGGCTTGGGGGGAAAGGACTAATGTAATAAAGATGAGCTAATTCAGAATGAAGTGAAGAAAAGAACAATCCTATGAGCAGGAATTCTGGATTATGTGGCATTATAACCTTAAGCATTTATTCTATAAGGTGGTAACTGTTCACCTATGAGTCTGTCTAAAGAAGCCCCGTTGCCCTGCTCCTTATGGCTCCTCCCATTTTACTTGACTTTACTGCCATGTCCTCCTACCCAAACCCCCAAACACCCATCTCTATCTAAATGGCTGAGGTGAGGGACTATTCCCCAACAACTCACAAGGGTCTTGACTGATTCCGAGGCTTATTTTACTACAGAATGGAGGTAAACAAACTATAGAGAACAGACTATAGAGAACATGACCTGGCAACCCCTTGACTTAGAATGATGGCTCTAGACTCTTGCTCCACCTTCCTACAGTGGCCTGGATTTTGTTTCTTCCTACTCCATGTGGCCATTTGATTTTCCACACAGACACCCCGGTACAGCCTGGCTTACTCTCCCACCTGCTCCTCCGGGGCTCTGGGAAGGTACTGGACACTAGCTTTTTTGTTTTGCCAAGCATGCACTCAGCTTCCAAGACTCAGATGGAAAAGGAATCTAGTTTTGGTGTGGCTTTGCTTCTGTACCTAACATCTTAAGCAGCAGCGTCTCTTTCCAGTTTCTGTAACTTTGGGTTCTCAGATAGAAGTGGGAAAGAAGCTGGTACCCTGGACAGTGTCCTGGGTCCTACACTTTGCACCTGATCTGGAACTTCATGACTCTGCCGGTTCTGGGGCACGTAGTCTTGGGGCAGAGCACTTACCTACCATCCAGGAGATGTTGGGCTCAGTCTCCACAGTGGAAAAAGAATGGCCAGAGTCCTGTGATGTCTACATTTTAGAGGAAGACTCTAAGGTCCAGAGATGCTCACAGCCAGGTAGCCCATTAGTGCCAGAAGTCAAGTGCGAGCCCACTTGACCTGTCCCCTGAGCTCTTTCCAGGTCCAACAGTTTTTCTAAGGGTCTCGTGGCATCTAGGACAGCATCGTCACCAACAGTGAAGTGTGACGGTTTTTGGAGAGCCAGATGCACGAATGCATCGCTTCCTGTCTCAGAGCCCAGGCTTCGCTCTTGAAGAGTCCAGCAAGTCAGACAGGGACGATAAATATGCTCCCAGCTTTCTGAATAGTCAAGTCCTTTTTATTTAGTCACTTCCTGTCTTTCTTGTGTTCTCTCATGACCTATCACTGAGGACTGAGTGAATCTGTAGTCTTATGAGATTTAAAAATGGCTATTACATATTCTCCAATAGAGGTAAGGTAATCCTTATCCCACTGAATACATGACATACTGTTCACATTTGTTGTCAAGGTAACTAACACTCTTTTTGCTTTTCTCAGTCAAGCCACACAAAGCTTCAACTCAGAGAGTTGTTACTCATAGTGCAGTCTTGTTCTGCTCTGACCGTGTTGTTTTTTCTATCCTATGTTTAGGGTTTCATTATCCTCTTTCCCTCACTATATTTCCCCTTTTTGCAAGCTTTTCGGTAGCCTGTGGTGAGGGAGGAGCCTTTTGCATCTGGAGTGTCTGTGGATGCAGCTTTGCTATTTCTATGTAGTCACTCGTGTTGTCTTCCAGACTCAGGTCTTCCCCCAGTCTGTCTGCTTCCTAGCTTCTCTGAATTCCTCTCTGGTCTGAGCTGGTTCTTTACATCTTCCACGAGTATTGTGCTGTGAGTAAGAGCACAGCTTTTCCATGTGACCTAGGGCCAGCTAGCTTTGAGTATGTAAGCACTCATGGACCAGGAGGAAGTGGCAGGTTTCTTTGTATTTTTCATAAGAGAACTCAGAGCCCTATTCTGGTGTTTATCTCTTCTCTGAGCGACAGCTCCATGGAAGTCTTTATTTTGCTTAGAAATGGGTTTAAAAAAAAAGAAAACTAAACAAACCTTTCTCTGAATCTGACACCCTGTCTAATGACAGAGGTCTGCTTGTGGCCAAATCAGCTCGATGGTCCACACATGTACATCTATCATACTCTGGGGAATGTTTAAGTAAGTTCAGCTCTCAGAGACAAGTAGGCTGTCATATCTTTGTTAATAAATAATTGTGTTGAAGCACAAGAAAATCTACTTGGAGTTTCCCTGAACCATCAAATTAGAGTCCAGATCCTTGCTGTTCTGCAGCATGTCCCATGGCCCCTGCTTCCACATGACTTGTTCCTGTAGAGGCCGGTTTATATTGCCCTTCTCCGTTCCCGGCTCTTAGGGTCTGATTCTCTTTGTCTCTCTCTTCTCCACTCCAGTCTTCTTTGACTTCTCACTTCTTCATTTCCTCAGGGGTTAAAAATGAAGCACACAACTGGGAATGATGGTGTATGTCTTTAATCCCAGTACCTGAGAGGCAGAGGCAGGCGGATCTTTGTGAGTTCAAGGCCAGCCTGGTCTACAAAGTGAGGTCCAAGACAGTCAGGACTGTTACAAAGAGAAACCCTGCCTGGAAAAGCCTAAATAAATAAATAATAAACAAGTTGCACAAACATGTAGAGGAATGAGTTTTGAAGTAGCAAAGAGGCTCTACAAAACACGAGGAAGTGGCTGATCAGCAGAACACAGACAACAGAGCATCCTTGCTCAGTGTGCCTCTTTGGAGCTGAAAGAAAAAGGCATGCAAGCCACTTTACCTCGAACTTGTAGCTTTCAGTATTAACCAAACCTTACCACGTACCCAAGCAGCATTCTAGGCAACAGCTAAGAACAGATTGTTTGGGTATGAATGTTTTGGGTGTTGGAATCTAAAATGCTGAAAAGGATTCCTTTAGAATTTCTATAGAGTTGACATACACGAAACTGTCCCAGGTTAGTTTTTAGCAGGTCATTCCTGGGATGTGTTCTTTATTGTTTGGTCAGTTCACCTTTGTATAAGGGGCTATTAGGAAAGGGGCCTGCTCTGTTATTGTCTGAGGATAGCTGCTGTATTGAAAAGATAATTAAGGTGGGGGCTGGAGAGATGGCTCAGTGGTTAAGAACACTGGCTGCTCTTCCAGAGGACCCAGGTTCAATTTCCAGCTCAAAACTGTCTATAACACCAAGACCAGACGAACATGCAGGCAAAACACCAATGCACATAAAGTAAAAATAAATAATAATGATAATAATAATAATAAAGGAAATTAAGATCCTAGGCACAGACCTGTGAGAGTGTTTGGATGAGTGAAAGTGGGCTGCTGCGCTCGTTCTTGGGGAGCCTTTTGTGTAACCCTCCTCTGTTCTGTTACAAGCCTCTTCCCTGGCTCTTTGCGCTACCTTGTCCAGCAGCACTTGGATTTGCTTCACGCCCTGCAGGAAAGGGTCCTGAAATGGCCACGCCAAGGAGTCCTCGGAGATTTATTCCTGAAGTTGACAAATGATGAGGTGAGGTGTCTCTCCCTCTATACTATGAATGGGTTTGTGTCTCACTCATCTGCTTCTAATGACAACCAAGAATTTGCATGTTTCAGAGTTAGAAGAAGCCCGGATACCTTGTCTAACCTCCCCATACTACAGTTAGCGGGGTAGGCTCATAGAGATTCAGAGGCTTTGCTGAAATCGCCAGCTTGCAAGGTGGTTGGTTATCTATGACTGGAGCCCTGTTATGTCTTCTACCCTCTGATTCGTGACTTGTAGTTCACTATTGTGGCCTCTATTGATCATGTATGTGTATGTGTATATGGATTTATATATGTGCTTCTTTGATATACATATGTATATATATGATATATACATGCTTGATAAAATACTTGTATGTGTCATAAAATAAATGGGATGTACAGTATATATTTTTTCATTCTTTATAGATTTAAAAATATGATAGATAGCTGTTTGTCTTGAATGTCTTTTGTTTCAATTCTTTAGAAAAAGATTGCTGAATTTTGAATTTTCTTTAATGTTATACCAAGAACATATCCAGACCGGAAGTTGAAAGTTCACAGACCCAGACATGTCGTATATGATATAACATCAGTTTGGATTGATGGGAATTTGCTGGAGAAGACAATGTTTGTTTGGATACAAAGAACAGCTACTCAGATCTATCTAAATCTAATTATTATTTAGGAAAGAAGGACTAGAGTAGTTAGATTGTTGCTTTAAGGGAAGTGAAATCTAGAATTGTATTAAAATGCTCTTATATTTAAATATTGTGGGAGGCTATTATTATTATTATTTTTGTTTTTTGAGACAGGGTTTCTCTGTGGCTTTGGAGGCTGTCCTGGAACTAGCTCTTGTAGACCAGGCTGGTCTCCAACTCACAGAGACCCACCTGCCTCTGCCTCCAAAGTGCTGGGATTAAAGGCGCCACCACATTGTAGTAATATTTATCTTAGCACCAAAACGGTTATTTCATAGTCATAGTCTCATGAATCGCTGGCTATCCCTGAACTTGCTAGTTGAGGATGACCCTGAACTCCTGGTTCTCTTGCCTCTTCCTCTCAAGTGCTAAGATTATATATGTGGTCCATCACATACTTCTAAACATCAAGATTAACAAGGGGCTGGAGAGACAGCTCAGAGGTTAAGAACACTGGCTGCTCATATTGAGGATTGGGGTTTGGTTATAATAACCCACATGGCCACTCTCAACCATCTCTAACCCCAATTCCAGGATATTTGATACTTTTTTGGCCTCTGTGGACACCAGGCACTGACATGGGGTACATATATACATGCAGACAACACTCAACACATGTAAAATAAAAACAAATCTTTTTTTTTATTTTTAAGTTTAAATTTAGATTAGAAACATGGTTGGTTCACAAGTCAGTTCCAGGTCCCTCTCCCTTTCCCTCCTCTCCTCCCGTGCCCTCCCCCCAACTCCCCCATTATCCCCTCATTTCCCCAGGGAGGGTGAGGCCCTCCATGGGTGTGGCCATAGACTGTCATTTCATCCAGGTCAGGGCCTAGACCCTCCCCCCATGAGATCAGGGTGAGAGTTCATCTCACATTGTTGGATGGGAGTCCAAAGTCCATGTGTATACTCGGGATGAATACTGATCTACTGCCCAAGGCTCAATAGATTACCTAGGCCTCCTCACTGACACCCCCATTCAGGGGGTCTTGATCAGTCCCATGTTGGATTCCCAGGCATCATTCTGGGAATCAAGAGTTAACCCTTGTCAGGTCAGCTGTTTCTGGGGTTAAACCGGCCCAGTCTTAACTCCTTTGGTCATCAGTCCTCCCTCTCTGTTACTGGCTTTCTTGAGTTCAGCTCAGTTCTTAGCCATGGGAGTCTGCCTCTTCTTCCATCAGCCACTGAATGAAGTTTCTGTTTCCCAGACTCTCTGGTCATGGGATTGTAGGCTGGCACTCCCCAGATCTATGTCTAAAATCCCTATATGAGAGAGTACATGCCATGTTTCTCTTTTTGTGACTGCGTTACCTCACTCAGGATGGTTTCTTCTAGTGTCATCCATTTGCCTGCAAATCTCAGGATTCCATTTTTTTTTTCTGCTGAATAGTACTCCATTGTGTAAATGGACCACATTTCATCTATCCGCTCTTCAGTTGAGGGGCATCTAGGTTGCTTCCAAGTTCTGGCTATTACAAATAATGCTGCTATGAACATAGTGGAACAGACATCTTTGTTGTATGAATGGGCATCTTTTGGATATATGCTTAAGAGTGGAGTTGCTGGGTCTTGTGGTGGTTTATTCCCATTTTTCTGAGGAATCTCCATACTGATTTCCAAAGTGGCTGAACCAGTTGGCACTCCCACCAGCAATGGAGGAGTGTTCCCCTTTCACCACATCCTCTCCAGCATAAATTGTCATTGGTGTTTTGATTTTAGCCATTCTGACAGGAGTGAGATGTATCTCAGAGTTGTTTTGATTTGCATTTCCCGGATGGCTAAGGATGTTGAGCACTTTCTCAAGTGCCTCTCAGCCATTTTAGACTCCTCTATTGAAAATTCTCTATTTAGTTCTGCAGCCCACTTTTCAATTGGATCCTTTGGTGTTTTGGAGACTTGCTTCTTGAGTTCTTTGTAAATTTTAAAGATCAACCCTCTGTCAGATGTAGGGTTAGTGAATATTTTTTCCCATTCTGTGGGCTGCCTTTTTGTCTTGCTGACTGTGTCCTTTGCCTTACAGAAGCTTCTCAGTTTCAGGAGGTCCCATTTATTAATTGTTGATCTCACTGTCTGTGCTGCTGGTGTTATGTTCAGGAAGCTGTCTCCTGTACCGATTCATTCAAGGGTACCATCCACTTTCTCTTCTAAGAGGTTCAGTGTGGCTGGATTTATGTTGAGGTCTTTGATCCATTTGGATTTAAGTTTTGTGCATGGCGATAAACATGGATCGATCCGCAGTCTTCTACATGCCAGCCTCCAGTTATGCCAGCACCATTTGTTGAAGATGCTTTCTTTATTCCATTGCATATTTTTAGCTTCTTTGTCAAAGATCAGATGTTCATACGTGTGTGGGTTAATATCAGGGTTTTCAATTCGATTCCATTGGTCTACCTGTCTGTTTTTGTGCCAATACCTGTTTTCAGGACTATAGCTCTATAATAGAGCTTGAAGTCAGGGATGGTGATGCCTCTGGACGTTGCCTTGTTGAACAAGGTTGTTTTGGCTATCCTGGGTCTTTTGTTTTTCCATACAAAATTGATTATTGTTCTGTCAAGGTCTGTGAAGAATTGTGCTGGGATTTTAATGGGGATCGCATTGAATCTGTAGATTGCTTTTGGCAGGATTGCCATTTTTACTACATTGATCCTACCTATCCAAGAGCATGGGAGATCTTTCCATTTTCTGAGGGCTTCTTTAGTTTCATTCTTTAAAGACTCAAAGTTCTTGCAATACAGCTCTTTAACTTGTTTGCTTAGTGTTACCCCAAGGTATTTAATGTTGTTTGTGGCAATTGTAAAGGGTGATGTTTCTCTGATTTCTTTCTCAGCCCTTTTATCATCTGTATATAGTAGGGCTACTGATTTTCTTGAGTTGATCTTGTAGCCTGCCACTTTGCTGAAGGTGTTAATCAGCTGTAAGAGTTCCCTGGTAGAGTTCTTTGGGTCATTTATGTAAACTATCATATAATCTGCAATCAGTGAAAGTTTGACCTCTTCCTTCCCAATTTGTATCCCCTTGATCCCCTTTTGTTGTCGTATGGCAATGGCTAGAACTTCAAGTACAGTGTTGAAAAGGTATAGAGAGAGTGGACAGCCTTGTTTTGTTCCTGATTTTAGAGGAATTCAGTTGAGTTTCTGTCCATTTAGTTTGATGTTAGCTGTTGGTTTACTGTATATAGCTTTTATTATGTTTAATTATGTTCCTGTTATCCCAGATCTCTCCAAGACCTTTATCATGAAGGTGTGTTGGATTTTGTCAAAGGCGTTTTCAGCATCTAGTGAAATGATCATGTGATTTTTGTTTTTCAGCTTGTTTATATGGTGGATTTTATTGATGGATTTTCGTATGTTGAACCATCCCTGCATCCCTGGGATGAAACCTACTTGATCGTGGTGAATGATTGTTTTGATGTGTTCTTGGATCTGATTTACCAGTATTTTATTGAGTATTTTTGCATCAATGTTCATGAGGGATATTGGTCTGAAGTTCTCTTTCTTAGTTGTGTCTTTGTGTGGCTTGGGGAATCAAGGTTATTGAAGCCTCATAGAAAGAGTTTGGCAAAGACCCTTCTGCTTCTAATGCGTGGAATACTTTGAGAAGAATTGGTATAAGCTGTTCTTTGAATTTCTGGTAGAATTCTGCACTGAGGCCATTGGACCTGGGCTTTTTTGGTTGGGAGACTTTTGATGACTGCTTCTATTTCCATAGGGGTTATAGGTCTATTTAAACTGCTTATCTGTTCTTGATTTAGTTTTGGCAAGTAATAGCTATCCAGGAAGTTGTCCATTTCCTTTAAATTTTCGAATTTTGTGGAGTACAGGTTTTCAAAGTATGACCTGATGATTCTCTGAATTTCCTCAGAGTCCGTTGTTATGTCCCCCCTTTTCATTTCTGATTTTGTTAATTTGCATGTTCACTCTCTGCTGTTTGGTAAGTTTGGACAAAGGTTTGTCTATCTTGTTGATTTTCTCAAAGAACCAACTCTTCGTTGCATTGATTCTTTGTATTGTTTTCCTAGTTTCCACTTCATTGATTTCAGCCCTCAATTTGATTATTTCCTGGCGTCTACTCCTCCTGGGGGAGTTTGCTTCTTTGTGTTCTAGAGCTTTCAGCTGTGCTGTTAATTCTCTAGTATAACTATTCTCCAGTTTCTTCATGTGGGCACTTAGTGCTATGAACTTCCCCCATGGCACTGCTTTCAAAGTGTCCCATAGGTTTCGGTATGTTGTGTCTTCATTCTCATTGAATTCTAGGAAGTCTTTACTTTCTTTTTTATTTCTTCTTTGACCCAGGAATGATGTAGTTGTGCATTATTCAGTTTCCACAAATTTGTAGGTTTTCTGCAATTTGTGTTGTTGTTGAATTCTAATTTTAAAACATGATGGTCTGATAAGATGCATGGAGTTATTCCAATTTTTTTGATGCTGCTGAGGTTGGATATGTTGCCAAGTATGTGGTCGATTTTTGAGAAGGTTCCATGTGGTGGTGAGAAGAAGGTATATTCTTTTTTATGTGGATGAAATGTTCTATAGATGTCTGTTAATCCCAGTTGGGTCATTACTTCTATTAGACCCTTTGCTTCTTTGTTGAGTTTCTGTCTGGTATTCCTGTCTAGTGGTGAGAGTGGTGTGTTGAAATTTCCCACTATAAGTATGTGGGGCTTTATATGTGATTTAAGTTTTAGTAATGTTTCTTTTACGAATGTGGATGCCTTTGTATTTGAGGCATAGATGTTCAGGATAGACACTTCATCTTGGTGGATTTTGCCTGTGATGAGTATGTAATGACCTCCTTCATCTCTTTTGATTGATTTTATTTTAAAGTCTAATTTGTTAGATATTAGGATTGCTACCCCTGCTTGTTTCTTGGGTCCATTTGATTGGAAAATTTTTCCCAACCTTTAACTCTCAGGTAATGTCTGTCTTTGAGGGTGAGGTGTGTTTCTTGTATGCAGCAGAAGCATGGGTTCTGTCTTCGAATCCATTCTGCTAGCCTGTGTCTTTTTATGGGTGAGTTAAGGCCATTAATGTTGAGGGATATTAATGACCATTGATTGCTCATTCTTCTTCGATTTGCAATGGTTGTTGTTGGTGGAATTATATGTGGAATTTCCCCCTTTGTTCTTTTGGCTGTTGGTAGAGAGGGATTCTCTAATGCCTATGTTTTTCTGGTTGTAGTTAACTTCCTTGGGTTGGAGTTTTCCTTCCAAAACTTTCTGTAGGGCTGGGTTAGTGGATATGTATTGCTTGAATCTAATTTTGTCATGGAATATCTTGTTTTCTCCATCTATAGTGATTGAGAGCTTTGCCGAGGATAGTAGTCTGGGCTGGCATCCATGGTCTCTTAGTGTTGGTAGAATATCTATCCAGGACCTTCTGGCTTTCAGAGTTTCCATGGAGAAGTCAGGTGTAATTCTGATAGGTTAATTCTGTAATTCTTTATATGTTACTTGATCTTTTTCCTTAGCTGCTCTTAATATTCTTTCTTATTATGTGGTGAGGGACTTTTTTTGTGATCCACTCTATTTGGTGTTCTGTAAGCTTCTTGTACCTTCATTGGCATGTCTTTCTTAAGGTTGGGAAAGTTTTCTTCTATGATTTTGTTGAATATGTTTTCTGCCCCTTTGAGGTGGTTTTCTTCTCCTTCTTCTATACCTATTATTCATAGGTTTGGTCTTTTCATGGTGTCCCATATTTGCTGGATGTTTTGTGTTAAGGATTTGTTGGACTTAAGATTTTCTTTGGTTGATGAATCCATTCCTCCTTGTGTATCTTCAACACCTGAGATTCTCTCTTCCATCTCTTGTATTCTGTTGGTAATGCTTGTATCGGTAGTACCTTACTGTTTGCCCAGCTTTTCTATTTCCAGCCTTTCTTCAGATTGTGTTTTTTCTATTGTCTCTATTTCAGTTTTCAACCCTTGCACTGTTTGCATTGTTTCTTGCAATTTTCGGTTTATCTTTTTGTCCATTTTTTACATTTTATGAATTTTTTGGTTTGTTCTTTCTTCTATTTCTTGCATTTTTTGGTTTGCCTTTTCTTCCATTTCTTGCATTTTTTGGTTTGTTCTTTCTTCCATTTCTTGAATTTTTTGGTTTGCTTTTTCTTCCAGTTCTTATATTTTTTGGTTTGTTTTTTCTTCCATTTCCTGCCTTTTTTGGTTTGTTTCTTCTTCCATTTCTTGCATTTTTTGCTTTTTTTCTTCTTCCATTTCCTGTCTTGTTTGGTTTGTTTTTTCATCCATTTCTTTGTATTTTCCTATATCCTCTTTTAGGGCCTCTATCATTTTCATGAAAGTGGTTTTAAGGTCATTCTCTTCTGCTTCATTCGCATTGGAATGTTGGAGTCTTGCTGGTGTGGAGTCTCTAGATCTGGTGGTGTCATATTTGTTTTTCTGTTGCTGAGTGTGTTTTTGTATTGTCTCTTTCCCATCTCTTCTTCTAGTGGGTGCAGAAAGAGCCCCTTACTGGTCTGGTGGTTACGGGACCAGAGTTGCTTTTGGTGGGTGCTAGGAAGTCCAATAATCTGGTGGTTCTTCTATTCCTTGTCCTCGTTCTGGTCCCTGGACCTGCCGGAACAGCTGGTCCCCTGGTCTCCCTGGCTCCTCTGGTTTCCTGGTCTCGTTGGTGGGAGAGAAGTCCTGGAGTCTGGGGTGTTTGGCTCTCGCTGGGATTGGATGCTCTGTGCAGTTCCCAGGTGATCCCCAGGCACTGGACCCACCGGAACAGCTGGTCCCCTGGTCTCCCTGGTTACTCTGGTTTCCTGGATCCGCCGGAACCAAAAACAAATCTTTATAAAGAAGATGAATAAAAACCTCAAGAACAAATAAAGAACATGGATAATAAATTATTAAAATATCCTCTGAATTCTGCTCTTTTTTATGTTCATGGTACTATAATAATGTTGCCATTCCTATTTCCAGGTTCTTACCATGCATTTCTGTGTTTGTTTTAAAGAACAATTTCTTGGATTATTATGTTGCCTACCTGAGGGACTTGCCCGAATGCATCTCATTGGTTCATGTTGTGGTTCTGAAGGAGGTTAGTGTTAACTCTATGCGCATGCTGTTCTCTGTTTACCCATCATCCATATCATGTCAGTTCACTCAACACTGTAGCCTTTGCCCTGTGAACTTGTTTTCCAGGCTGAGGAATGCCTTGAACATATTAGCGATGACCTTTTTTGTGTTGCTCTGCTCCTTGCAGTGCTTTACTGACCCCTGATCCACTGACCCTCAGACAAAGCAAATAGGTAGTTCTGAGTTCTTCAGCATGCAGCTTGTGTGTTGTATGTGGTCTTTTCAGCTTCAGAAAATATGGTCTCAGTGTGGATTCAAGTCGTCCTTTGTCAAGTGGCTCCATGGTGTTCCTTGAAGCATGGCACTTCAGTGATGGATTAGGTGTTTGACATGCAAGTCTGCATGTACATTGTGTTATTTTTAAAGGTTTACTTGTTATGTATACAGTGTTCTGCCTGCATGTACACCTGCACACCAGAAGAGGGCACCCGATCTCAGTACCGATGGTGGTAAGCTACCATATGGGTGCTGGGAATTGAACTCAGGTCCTCTGGAAGAGCAACCAGTGCTCTTAACCTCTGAGCCATCTCTCCAGCCCCATGAACCATCTTTCCAGCCCCTACATTGTGTCATTTTAAGTCAACAAGAAAATAGAGTACTGGAGCCCTAACGTGAGGGGGCGGAAACTTTCATCAACACTAACACTGAGAGTAGTTGCATCTCATAGGAGATGAGAGCCTATATCTTACATTCAGCTTCACCTCCCTGAGTCCTCCCAACCACAATGACTATCACATGATAGCATTCAGCAAATGTCTGGAAAAAGGAAGAGAAGGGAAGGTACAGAGGGGGAGACCACTGTATTTTCTGCTTCTAGGCTTACTGACCAACTTCTAATCACTTTTCTGTCTCCACTCTTGAGAGACTCTGGTTCACTCTTAGAGCCTTAGTAGATGACTTGCTAGAAAATCTTAATTTCACATTTAATTCAAGTGCAGCTTACCAAGAGCCTACTTCTATGTAGCACTGACCTTAGAGGGGTTGGGGACAGAGGGGATAGTTTGGAAACTTGGATAGATTCGAAAGAAGTATATGTTATGTCCTCTGGTAGAGAAGAGTTGTCCCTTTGGGCATGACCCTGAACACGTGGCCTCTCCAGTGAGAGAGCAATGTTTCATGACAATCTCTGGAAGGAAAGTGCTTTAGAAATATGCATTTCCTACCCGGTGGGAGGGATCTTTGGTGTTCTATTTGCACTGCTGAAGAAACACTGAAGAGTGACGTTTTTTTTTTTTCTTTCAGGGTGATGAGGAGATTAAATCCGACATCTATACCCTGTTTTTTCACATAGTACAGCGCATCCCTGAGTATCTGATACATCTCCAGGTGAGCTCAGCTGGACAAGCCAGCAGACATTCACACTGAGTTATTATTTTTGGCTTCCAAATTAGCAATATTGTGAAGGTTCAAGGATTCATTAGAATTTCTAAGAAGTGGTCACATGGCTTCGGTTGTTATGGTTACACCACACCACAGCAAAATATACCTTACTCTGCAGAATGGGCTAAAATCTAGTCTTGAAATGTTTGGTTTATGATACTTGTCTCTGGAGTTCTATCTTTATTTATGAGTAATCTCCACTTCTGGGGGTTCAGGGTCTTTTAGAAATACTCTTCATAATGTCTAAGCACCTTATTCAGTTCCCTCCTATTTGGTTCTACAACCATCTAAATGTCACCCCTGGCATCTTAATTTCTGCTTAACCTTAAACTAAACTACTGTGCTGATGGCTTCCACTTGACTTGGTTCAGGGTCCTATCATACAGCATTCACACTTTATGCTACAGAAGAGCCATGAGCAGCCGATGAACAAATTCTTAACATAATTTTCCCATGGAGCCTGTAGCCTTGTAGAGGATGTAGAGTTGAGTTCAACAGCCTTTTACTAGTAACACCTCTTCCTCCTGATACCCATCTGCTCTGATCTTAAGTAATTCAGTGAAAACATCTTAGAAATGCTTGTAATTAACCTCAGCTAGAAGCAGCCCAGAGTCAATATTGAGATTTTCACTGTGACATGGCTTTACACAATAATGATCTTACAGATTCTTCCAACAGTTTCACGAAACAGATATTATCATTTTTCTTTATGTTATGGAGACCACAGCAGTCCCAAGATAACACCCCTAGTAGGCCAAAACCTCACACTGAAGCCTAGGTATTGCAAATACTAGATAAAGAGGCCTGGGGCTACTCTCTCTAGTTTGCATTCAAATCATTCTTTTATCAATACGTGACCTAAAGAAGATCACCCAGCCAGGTATCTCAGTTTCCCTACTTATTATATATCTAACTGGGTTGTGAGAAAAACTAAAGACAATGACTGTTAAATGACTTAGCTCCTGGAAATAGGAAGTAGTCATCAAATAAATAGCATAGTCGTTGAGTGTTAGTGTTCTCAATCCCACTGTAGCACAGAAGGGCTTTTATTCCATGTTGTGCTACTATAACAAAATACCAGAGGCTGGGTATTTTTTTAAAGGGAAGAGGTTCATTTTGGCTCACAATTTTGGAGACCCTTTTGGGTGGTGCTGGCGTTGGTGTTTGGTGACTTCCTCATGGTAGACACAGTGGTAGCATAGATAACGATGGTGGGTCACACACCATGGAAGAAGTAAGGGGTGGTACCCAGGGTCACTTTCCTGTAACCGTTTCTTCATAAGAACCCCCTCTTTAAAACCAGCGTTAATCCCTTCACGAGTATAGTCAACACACATTTCACTAGGTCCCACCTCTTAGAGGTCCGACCTCTTTAGAAAAAGTCATCACACTGCCGATTAAGCTTCCAGTACCTGAACCTTTGGGAGATAAACCATAGCTAGACCATAACATCAGGCAATGTAATAGGAGGGCCACTATCCACCCTACCCATCTGACAGGCTCACCGGATGCCCATCAGTCTCAGCCATGGGGTCACCCTTTAAGTATTGCTTATAGGTAGTTGTTAGAGCACCTTTATTTCTTCATGTATCTAATTCTTTTGAGCTTTTAGCTGATTGGATAGACAGACCATGCATTTGAGTTGTTTTGATTGATTTGCTTGGCACTTACAGTAGCTCAAAGTGAGGTTCGAAAGAGATGAAGCAACTTTTCAGTCTAATTGTGCAACACGCATTCCCCTTCCCTTCCATCCAGAATGTTCTGAAGTTCACCGAGCAGGAACACCCCGACTATTATCTATTGCTCGTGTGCGTTCAGCGCCTCCGGGTGTTTATCTCCCATTATACCCTGCTGTTTCAGTGCAATGAAGAATTGCTCATTCAGAAGCGGAAAAAGCTCAAAAAGTAAGGTTGTGGCAGTGCAGCGCCTGACAAAGGTCTCTGAGAAGAGGGTCCAGAGCAGCCCCTCTGGCTGGATGGGGTGAAGTGCGGGAAGGGAAGGGGGAGGGGCAGTTAGGCTGGCCACAGGAGGGAAGTGACTTTAGAAGGAAAGCATTTTGGCCTTATTGTCCCCTCTTAGGTTGCTTCCCTTAACTTTTCAGGTTCAAAACACACCTGATGTTTGTTAGGCTCGCTTGTGCCCAGTGAATATACCATAAGGAACAAAACAGCCATAGAACCTCTGTTTCATGGAGCCTAGTCTTTAGGGCTGGACAATGAAGGATAAATTAGGTGTTAATGAGTGGTGATATAAAACTGTTGGGGGGGTATGTGTCTGAATAGATTTCACAGAATGAAGAAACAAAGTTTGAGTAGGTACCATCTGGGCCATGGAGAATAGACGCGACCCACAGCAGAGCTTCCAGATTCTCTTAAGCATCTGCAGCACAGTATCATTTCTCTAGGGGTTTCAGCTGACAGGTGTGTCTCGGTACCACTTGGTATCCCCAAGCTCTTTTCAGCCAACTGCCAGCTATTATGTAAGCAACCTGGCTTAAAGAGGGCCCTGGGGATAGAGAACCCACCACAGAACACTTCATCTGAGAGGCAAATCTGTTTTTCTTAGCCAGGCTCACACTGTGCAACCTGAGATCTGCTATTTCCATCCTGTTAGGTCATCTATGGCAAAGCTGTACAAAGGGCTGGCTTCCCAGTGTGCCAATGCTGGCCAAGATGCTTCCCCCACTGCAGGCCCAGAGGCTGTCCGTGACAGTGGGATCCACTCAGAAGAAATGCTCCAAACGTACCCTTCTGCTCCCAGTTCTGCCCCTGCTGTCACGTAAGCATCTGCTGCTAGAGAAACATTAGCAGGAATGCCCTTAAGTCCCAGGTATTCTGTATAGGTGACCAGGCTGGGCTGCATTAGAAATGTGTTCAGCAGAGCTCTGCCTTCTCCCTTGCCCCATCGTTTCTGTATTAACCACTGAGCAGCTGGTCTGATCCTAGGGTTCCAGAGAAAGATACTAAGAGGCATATTTAGAAAGTGCTGACGTGTGAAAAGTAGAAATTCACTCTGTGCATTACTTCAACTCTTGAGGCAGTATACAATAAATAGAGGGAAAAAGTCTACGTTATACCCAGGCCAAACTATGGCTGTTATTTTACTCTGTAGGGAAAATAAAAGCATCAATCTTCCAAAATAAGAATATTGAATATTGGTGTAAGGTCAGTTCATTTCACTTTTTTTCCATATTTGTAAATGTGAATCCTAAGTTTCATTGTAAGATCAATGTCTTGCAATCCCTAAAGACATTCAGTGTTAGTATTCATATATGCAACCATATACACTTCTGATGAATTAAAATATGCATAAATAGAATAAAAATTTTGGTCAGTATACACTAGTTTATTTATATCTGTCTGGTAAATAAGCAAAACAACAAAAATTCTATTTGATGGATGTGCTACCAGACAACAAAACTATAGAAACTGGGCAAATTCTGATAGCTTTTACATCGTATTAATGTTTTATGGGTGATTGTTTGACATGACAAGATGCTTTATAGCCACAAAATTTTTAAAAAGTTTATTATAGAAATACAATTTTTACACATTTGAGTCAATCCTCAAAAAACCAAAAACCAAATGTGCAGTGCTCTTGCTGAGGTCCCAAATTTACCAGGTGGTGGTGGCACATGCCTTTCATCAGGCCAGCCTGGTCTACAGAGGGAATTCCAGGACAGCCGAGTTTCTTTATCACCATTCATAGCTCAACAGTTTATTTTGGAAAACAATTGTTTATGTGTGAAGAGGCTGTATCAAGTTCATCGTCCAGGATTCTGTATTCGACTCTGCCACAGCAAAGGGAGAGAAACTGAAAAGGGTATCCTGGGAGTTGCCTGGTGGCAGGGAGGCTCGGAGCTTCCATCAGCCTTTGTCTGTCGGCCAACTGATGTCTCAGTGACTTAGCTTGGGAGTCGAGATAGATGACTTTCCTGGCCGCTGTTTCCACTCTTCCAGGCGGGTCTAGGGTTTCTTGAGCGATCTCCCTCGTTAGTTTGTGGAGCTTGACAGGTTATCCACGAAGGCACGGCGGGGGGGAGGGCGGGGGGGGGATGAGCTGGCCTGGGGCTGCTCGCTTGGAAGATAGCTCAACACTATGTGATCTTCTCTTGTCTCACCTTTTAAAGACATTTGATGCCCGCGCCGAAGAAAGGCCAACAGCAGCAGAGCCTCATGGAGAGCATGCAGCCCGGGAAGCCGGGCGACTGGGAGATGGAGGGAAGAAAGCACGAGCGGCCCGAGAGCCTGCTGGCCCCGGCGCAGTTCTGCACTGCCGAGCAGGACGTGAAGGCGCTCGCCGGGCCGTTGCAGGCCATCCCGGAGATGGACTTCGAGCCGTCCCCGGCCGAGCCGCTGGGCAACGTGGAGCGCTCGCTGCGCGGTCCGCCCGAGCTCCTGCCCGACGCGCGCGGCTTCGTGCCCGCCGGCTACGAGGAGTTCGAGTACGGAGGCGAGATCTTCGCGCTGCCCGCGCCCTACGACGAGGAGCCCTTCCAGGCGCCGGTGCTGTTCGACAACTGCTCGCCCGCCTCCTCCGAGTCTAGTCTGGACATCTGCTTCCTGAGGCCCGTCAGCTTCGCCATGGAGGCCGAGCGGCCCGAGCACGCGCTGCAGCCGCTGCCCAAGAGCGCCACGTCGCCGGCGAGCAGCAGCAGCGCCTACAGGCTGGAGGCGGCGCAGGCGCAGGCGCACGGCAAGGCCAAGCCGCTGAGCCGCTCGCTCAAGGAGTTCCCGCGCACGCCGCCCGCCGAGGGCGCGGCCCCGCGCCTCTACAGCACGCGCAGCAGCAGCGGCGGCCGCGCGCCGCTCAAGGTCGAGCGCGCCGCCGCCCCGCACGGCCCCGCCGCCGCCGCCGCCGCCTCCCGCGGGGCGCCGCGGACCTTCTTCCCCCAACAGAGGTCCCAAAGCGAAAAACAGACATATTTGGAAGTAAGGAGGGTAAAGTAAAACCGAGCCGAAGCCCACCTCGGCGCCCCGGGCCTAGATCTCAGGGCCAGCCCTGGTTCCCTTGGGGGGAGGGAGGGGACAGAGGCGGAGCCGGCACACGCGTGGTGACAGGCTGTGGCCTTGGTGGCCTTCCAAGGCAAGTGGTAGGTTGGTACCCCAGCAAGAGCACGAGGGCAGGGGGAGCCAGACGAGACCTCTGTGCACAGACATGCTCACAGACACGCCAGGAGAGAGGGACAGATGCACACACAGAGTATGAATGAATGAGTGAGTGTACTAATTTCTTCCTTCTTATGGGCTGCACAGCCTGCTCCGTGCACCTCCTGGTCCGAATGTAGAAAATACCGAGCGCTGTGTGCTAGCCACCTCCAGTTGTCTTTCTTTGTGTCGGTATCGATCACGAAGTTTGTTGCAAAAGAGAATTCATTTTTGCTTGCTTTCTTAAAGGCTGTATTGACTCAGATGCCCCTTCAGTTTCGATGAATGTTGAGGCATGTTGCTGTCTGCCCTTGTGTCTCCAGGCCTTGGGGTATTTAAAAGTATGTGCCAACCCCAACCAGCAAGAGACAGGCGACACACAGGTTTTCAATGTGACAGAAACAATTGATTTAGCTTATTAACAAGATAGGTCTCAAGCGTGCAGCCACACTTTCATTTTCAAGAGAGTGGGTTTAAGTTGATGGTTACAGACTCATTTAAATCTCCGGTCAACACAGTGCCTGCTGTGTACCAGCTCCGTGTGCTGGTTGTTGAAGGTTCAGAAATAAACAGTTCAGAATGTCTTAGTACATGGAATCCCAATGAACTGGGGGCATAGAGGAGGGATATCTAAAACCTCTTGGAGTGATGACGTTAGAGAATGCACCCTAGGTACATCGAATATCTGAATTGATTTTAACAGCTGCTTAGAAGCTACTGGGGGGCAAGGTAGTGAAGCTTAAAAGAAAAGGACTTCTTGGGCATAGAACCACTGGGTAGCTTCTCCTCTGGCATTACTGGGAAGGTGGGAAGAGAGCCCCAGAAACAGGAGGGATGGATCATGGCAAGCCCTGGAGTTTGCTGCCTACTTTGGCTTGAGGGGAAAAACGCCTAGCAAACCCCTGACATTCTTCAGGAGTCAGGTTTTGTTTTTTCCTGACTCTGATTTCTCAACTCCAAACCTTAAAAAATCCTACTGGGTAAAATTTCTAAGACAAATCAATCCTAGGTAATCTTGGACGTTCATTAAAAGGGGAAATAGAGGGGAATTACTATTGCCAGTTTAAACTGGGATGGGCAGAGAGTCACATTGAAGTCTTCTAAGTGGTGTGGCCCATGCTACAAAGAATGCTTTTATCTTTCATGTTCATAGTAATGTGAGGTCTTTTGCCCTAGTTCATGTGTGAAATTTTTGAAAATTGGAACAATTTCCAGGGAAAATTTTTATTAGAAATAACAAATATACTTGAGAAGCAAACAATAAGTAGTATATTTGTGGCTGTTTATCAGAAATACCTTATAGCAATAACAATATAGTAGTATTCCTTAACATGGGAAGACAAATGAATTCAAGACACCAAGGAAGAATCATGCAGAGTTTAGGAGAGAAGGGGCTGTGTGTTTATGCATGTAAATGTAACGTGTGTGTGTGTGTGAATAGGATTGGGACTATAGCTGCACAAGATAACCCTGTGAAACTGTATCCTTAAAGGGGTCACTTTTTAGTTGTTAGGGTGAGTCAAACCATTTGGCCTCAGTCTACTCTACTCCACCTGTGACCAGAAGACCTAAAGCCAGTTTTAGTGTCTTTTTTGAGAGCCAAGAAAGAAGACAGGGCATAGGAACTCTAGGTTCTAACCCAGGCTCTGCTATCAAATAGTTGCCATCTGTGGACAATTCACATGGCTTCCCTGCACATCCAGTTTTCTTATCTGTGAAAATAAGATATTTAGGGAGCTGGAGAGATGGCTCAGTGCTTAAGAGCACCTTTTTGCTCTTCTGGTGGACCCAGGTTCAATTCCCAGCACCTGTATGGTAGCTCTCAATGGTCTATAACTCCAGTTCCAGAGGATCTGACATCTGCTTCTTGTTTCCTCAGACATCAGGCATGCACACGGTGCCTGCATACATGGAAGAGCCCAAGCACACATAACAAAATAAGTCTCTGTAAAAACAAGAAGCCTGCATACGTAGAAGAGCCCAAGCACACATAACAAAATAAGTCTCTGTAAAAACAAGAAGCCTGCATACGTAGAAGAGCCCAAGCACACATAACAAAATAAGTCTCTGTAAAAACAAGAAGCCTGCATACGTAGAAGAGCCCAAGCACACATAACAAAATAAGTCTCTGTAAAAACAAGAAGCCTGCATACGTAGAAGAGCCCAAGCACACATAACAAAATAAGTCTCTGTAAAAACAAGAAGCCTGCATACGTAGAAGAGCCCAAGCACACATAACAAAATAAGTCTCTGTAAAAACAAGAAGCCTGCATACGTAGAAGAGCCCAAGCACACATAACAAAATAAGTCTCTGTAAAAACAAGAAGCCTGCATACGTAGAAGAGCCCAAGCACACATAACAAAATAAGTCTCTGTAAAAACAAGAAGCCTGCATACGTAGAAGAGCCCAAGCACACATAACAAAATAAGTCTCTGTAAAAACAAGAAGCCTGCATACGTAGAAGAGCCCAAGCACACATAACAAAATAAGTCTCTGTAAAAACAAGAAGCCTGCATACGTAGAAGAGCCCAAGCACACATAACAAAATAAGTCTCTGTAAAAACAAGAAGCCTGCATACGTAGAAGAGCCCAAGCACACATAACAAAATAAGTCTCTGTAAAAACAAGAAGCCTGCATACGTAGAAGAGCCCAAGCACACATAACAAAATAAGTCTCTGTAAAAACAAGAAGCCTGCATACGTAGAAGAGCCCAAGCACACATAACAAAATAAGTCTCTGTAAAAACAAGAAGCCTGCATACGTAGAAGAGCCCAAGCACACATAACAAAATAAGTCTCTGTAAAAACAAGAAGCCTGCATACGTAGAAGAGCCCAAGCACACATAACAAAATAAGTCTCTGTAAAAACAAGAAGCCTGCATACGTAGAAGAGCCCAAGCACACATAACAAAATAAGTCTCTGTAAAAACAAGAAGCCTGCATACGTAGAAGAGCCCAAGCACACATAACAAAATAAGTCTCTGTAAAAATAAGAAGCCTGCATACATGGAAGAGCCCAAGCACACATAACAAAATAAGTCTCTGTAAAAACAAGACATCTGGTGGGCAGCAACAAGACTCAGCAGGTGGAGCTTCCGCCCTGCAAGCCTGGCTTTGGCCCAGATCCCACAAGACGGCAGGGGGAACCAACTGCTCAGGGGTTGCTTCTGACTTCCACAAAATCTCCCTGGTCCCTATGTGTCTACACACACACACACACACACACACACACACACACACACACACACACCAAAAAAAAACAGTAAAATTGTGGCTAGTGAAATGGCTCATTAGGTAGAGGCACTTGTCACCACACCTGAGGACTTGTATCCCACCCTTAGGAGCTATGCGCTGTAAGACCTGATTCCTGCAAATTTTCCTCTGACCTCCACATTGCCCTAATATGTGAAGCCATCCCCCATCCCAAGTAATAAATATCATAATTTCTAAGAAGTAGATTACCTTAAAGGGTTGTAAAGATCAAACCAAACAAGGTAGTTTCAGAGTATGCTTTGTAAAGTAGGGAATGTTATACTGATGGAAGATGATATTAAGACCATGGTTTCACCGAGTGTGGGTGGCACACACCTTTAATCCCAGCACTCGGGAGGCTGAGGCAGATGGATCTCTTGTGTTCAAGGCCAGCCTGGTTTACAGAGTGAGTTCCAGGACAGCCTCCAAAACAATACAGAGAAACCCTGTCTCAAAAAACAAAAACAACAACAACAACAAAAAAAGACCATGGTTTCACAGACAGACAGATATTCCTTAAAGAATTTAGAGTTTCCCTGAATGGAGAGTTTAGTATGGATCCCAGTTAAAGACTACTTTAATAGAGGATCCACAGTTGATAGGAGGCAAAACCAAGCCCCGTCCTGTGGGCTCTGAAATTCTAAGTCTGGATGTTTTATCATTGAGCAAGTGTTTTGGCCAGTGCTATAACTTTGCTTTAGTTCTCACAGGCACCTCCCAAAATGTGGTCTTGGAGGAAGTAGTGGATGCATTAATTTAGTATTTTATAAATCTTACCAATGCAGAAACTATAGCCATACCTACGGAATCAGAAATTACTATTTAGGATTCCTAGTTAGGTGTTTGCTGTAAACAGCAGTTCATTGGGCAGAAGTTTGCCTGAAATTCCTGGTTTTCGTATCTAAGTATGCATAGCAATTACATATAGGCTAGAGATTGTGCCTCAGAGACTCGAGGCTTAAGGATCTGTGTTTTTAAGTGAAAGCAACTGTAGATGGTTCTAGGATGCCAGGAGCATACTTTGAGAAACTTTGCACTAAGCCACCAGGATACTGCTCTCCACAGTCTAATTATGAATCTTAGCGGCATCTCAGACTTCCCAGGGTGGCTGTTACAATCCCAATGATGTTCTCAAACCCAGATCTAGACGTTTCCTGGAAAAGCCTCTTGCCCATGCTTTGTTGCCTAGTGGGACCTGCAGGGTGCTGTTGCTGTGTTTTCTGCTTTCACTTCTTAGCGTCACTCAGGCAGCTGCTTTAGGATTGTCTTAAACCACAGTCACCTTGAGATAAATCCTCTTTTTGTGTAGGATGTGGGTTTGTGTACATACCAAACACACACACACACACACACACACACACACACACACACACACACACACACATATTTTGGTTTTTCGAGACAGGGTTTCACTGTATTGTTTTTGGAGACTGTCCTGGAGCTCGCTCTGTAGACCAGGCTGGCCTTGAACTCACAGAGATCCACCTGCCTCTGCCTCCTGAGTGCTGGGATTAAAGGCATGTGTCACCAATGCCCAGCTCCAACACATATTTTTATATGCACTTAAGTATGTGTGCACATGGGCTGGAGAGATGGCTCAGCGGTTAAGAGCGTTGGCTGCTCTTCCCATGGACCCAGGTTCAATCCCTAGCACCCACGTGACAGCTCAAACTGTCTGTAACTCAGGTTCCAGTTGGTCCAACTTCCTCACACAGATATACATGCAGGCCAAACACCAAATGCACATTAAAAAAATAATAAATATGTGTGCACATGGTAACATCTTACATTTAACAATAAACAAGCACATAAAAGAAGTATCTTTATTTTTAATTATACTCTGAATGTGGACCAAGTTAATATAAGTAGGATGAAAGCAAAGTTTAGACACACCAGTTAGATAATTCTCAAAAACTACTCGCCACTAAAATACAGAATTGAAACAGGACTTTAAAATCATGGTTGCATTGTTGATAGCATCCTGCTGATATCTGTTTCTCTCAAAAGTAAAACAACAGTAACAAAACCCCCTTAATATTAAGTTTTCTTATTTTGTAGAAAGAGAAACGTACCTAGAGATACCAAGGTTCAAGTATGACTTATTCAGCAAGACACAGTTGATGGCAGCACCAGGTTTATTTTCTGTATTTATGGTGGCTATAGAGATGACTTGGTGGTTAAGGGCACTGGCTGCTCTTCCAGGGGATCCAGGTTCAGTTCCCAGCAGCCACGTGGTGACTCACAACTCTTTGTAACTCTAGTTCTGGGGGTTTCAGTGCCCTCCTCTGGCCTCCATGGGCACCAGGCATACACACAGTATACAGACATACAAACAGGCAAAACACCCATACACATAAAAGAAAAACATACTCATTGGTATTATACATGCCATGGCAAGCATATCAAGGTCGGAAAATGTCCTGGTTTGGTTTTTGTCATCTTGACAGAAACAAGAGTCACCTTGGAAAATGCTTGTATCTGATGGCTGTGCCAGGCCTGTAGGGGCATTTTCCGGATTAGTAACAGAGTAATAGTTATAGAGGAGGGCCCAGTCCTCTGCTGTGGTGGTGGTGGCGGTGGCGGTGGATCCATGGGTGCTGCTCCCAGGCAGGTATTGTGAATTAGTCTGAGAAAACCACTGAGAGCAAGCCAGTAGGCAATGTTTGTCCCTGGTTTCTTTATGCTTCAGTTCTTGGCTCTAGGCTCTCTTGAGTTCCTGTCCTGACTTCCCCTCAGGACTGTTACCTGGAAAAGAGAGATGAAGCTGCTTTTGGGACATGCCTTTTCTTATCACAACAATAGAAAGCAAACAGGGACAGAGAGCAACTTGCTGGGTCCACTTTGTCCTCCCACCTTTGCGTGGGTTCCGGGGATTGAACTTGGGTCTTTGGACTTGTGTAGCAAGCACCTGTGCGTGTGGAGCTATCTCATCAGTCACACAGCCTACCCTGTATTGCTGGCTGACTTCCTTCATTTGCTTGTCTTGCTGTCGTGCTCTGCTGTGGACTGATGGCCCGCCTTTGTAGAGTAGTGCTCCTTTCCACCTGTCCGTGTCACCTCCCCAGGCTTGCTTTTGCTGGGACTGGGGAGCCTCAGGCAGTCAGGGGCACAGGGGCGAAGCTAGCGGAGCAGCCCACAGCCAGGGCGGATATGTTTGGGAAGGAGTAAAACACACGCCTCTTTTGTGTTTCCAGGAGATGCACTTAGAGGATGCCACCCGATTCTGTCCAAAGGAAGAAAGAGAGAGTGAACAGACTTCTTTCAGCGACCAAAATCCCAGGCAAGACCAGAAAGGGGGCTTTCGCAGCTCCTTCCGCAAGCTCTTTAAAAAGAAGTGAGTAGCCCTTAGATAAAACAGTGTTGTAACTCATTTCCCTTTGGCAGAAGTCTGAGGTTTTAAAAGTATTAATTACTAAGTAGCCTGGTCTCACACAACTGTTTCAAGTTCAGTGCTTTGTACCCAATTTCTGACCAGAAGCAAACTCAGCTCCCCCTTCCTCTTCATTCCCAGAGTTGTGTCCTGAGAGAAGTAGCAGAGAGGGTGCCCTGGCAAATGGGCTGAGAGAGGTCCTATGGGAGCTGAGTGTTCAGTCAGACCCCAGGTGTGAAAAGTGATGAGGGCATGTCAGCACTTCTGCTCATGGCCTCAGCATCCCAGCTCTAAAAAATGCTGTTGATACTTGTCAGGGCTTTCCCTGAATGAATGGATTTGGCTCAGGTCCTAGTAAAAACTTTTAGTGTCCATGTTAGAAAGGAAGCAAAAGAAGTTTCCCTCCTCGGTCTTTTTCTAAGTTATTGTTGCGTGAAGTATTACCTCCCGGGCATTTTGGCCAGCTCCTTGTTCAGTTTGGGAGGTAGGGCCAGGCTACAGCATAAATGTAAGGAAGAGAGAGATGACAAGCACATGATTCAGCAGCCCAGCCCTTGCCTGCCTGGGTGGCTGCTGTTAATTCCTCTGAAGGTCCTCAGGCCTACCTTCCTCTCACTTAGGATGATCACCTTGCTATTTACTTACTTTTTTTAGAAATCATTGTGAATTGTTTTTCAACCTCAAGTCTATATTTTAATTATTAGAAAAATTAAATGAAGGTGTAAGCCTTCAGAGACTTACTGGGAAACGACTTTCTCCTTGAAGGTGGAGTTACTGGTCTTGGTAATGGAGGAAGTGGGAAGAGCCTTCAGTTGGCTTTCTTTTTTTCTAATGATTTGTCTTGTTCCCCTCCACTGGGAGGGTGGTACTGAGATCAGTGGATGTCTGATTGTTGGTACTGAGATCAGTGGATGTCTGATTGTTGGTCCTTGCCTATTGTTACTAGAAGGAGGAGGAAGAGGAAAGAAGAACAGCGGTTCTACAGTTAACCACAGCCCTACAGTCTGTCTCCTTCCCTGCACTTAACCACAGCCCTACAGTCTCCTTCAGTTTTGCTAGGCAACCCAATGCATTCATGACTGTTGCTGGACCTCAAGTCACTTTCCATAGGGATTGAGGCTTAAGAACTGTTCATCCCTCTCTAGAGTCATAGATTTTGGTTTTTCTTGGTCTATAACTGCTGATGGCGTGAGTGGGAAGAAGTAGAGAATTTGGCAGTCTAAACTTGGGATTTAGACTGGAAACCCTTTGAAGAATGCCAGATGCTTAAGGACACACATTGCTTGAGTCTGCTGGATACTTTTTAAGTTATAAGATTCCCAAAAGAAGTAATTATTTGTTGTTCACTACCATTTATAACAACTGAGCAGTACCTGTTGGTAAACAATCAGCAATAGATCCACCACTGGTTCCTTTACAAATCCTTGTTTATATAATGGCCTATTAGTTATATGAGGCATAGGGGCCAGATCTGCCCTTTGTATCCAGAGGGCAGAACTAACAGAAGTGAGGAGGAAGAGGAACATTCTAAAAAATGCACCTGCCTGGACCTGGTGGACTCATGAGAGTGTGCGTTCTCTAAAGTAGAAGCTAGACAGTTCTGCCTGGGGTCTCTGAAAAGCATTTCTACACTGGGTGGGGAGGTTGCTCCAGAGATCATCAGTCCTTTCCAGTATATATGTAGCTTTATCTGTACTCTGACTTTACTGTTGCTCAGTCTGAATAGCCACTTATCTTTATCACCCCAAACTAGATGACTATGCTGTTGGGCCTGTAATTTTAAAGGTCCCTAAATGAGAAAGCCATACAATCTTCCTATAGCTCCCTGCCCCCACAGACCTTTGTGGAATACAGATGCTTTGCTGTATGCTCTCCAGATTCACACCGGTTAATTGTCATCAGTCCTTCTGCAGCTTTGGGTATTTTTCTTAGGGAGAAGGATAGTGGATTCTCTTAGTTCTTTCATCGAGCAGTCTGCATCAGTCATATTGCTATCAAGTATTTAACTGTGAAGTATTGTCTGCATGGAGGTGAAGGCGCAATCTCTTAGATGACTCTCCCTCTGGCCTGCTTTCCTGGCTTGGAAGGTTTAGTCTAGGACATCAACACCATGCAGGCAGCTCCCACGACAGCTTTGTGCTTAGGGAGCTCTTCGGGGACTTGTCAAGGGTTAAAGAAGCAACTTAAATAGCTTCTTCTGGGTTTGTCATCTAAAGACCATGGAAAGTCTGTTAAGGACCACACTCCTGTATGGTACTACATAGAGAAAGGGAAGGGAAGCCCCAGGGTAGCACGGAAGGGCCTGTATCTTTAACTCAAATGTAAATCACCATCCTTGTATATGTGGACAATTCCAGGCCTACATAAAGGATCATGAAGGATATGGTCCCAGCCATTCCATAGAAACTTGCATTCTGAATTCAGGAATGTATAGGATGAAAGATAAACTATCCCTTCTAGAAAAATCTATATGGAGATTGTGAAAGACTTAAACCTTGTAAAAAAAAATGAGTTGTAGATAGAAAAGAGTCAAGCCATTTTGTGTGTCAGAAAGTCACTTGGCAGCAAACCCACTGACCTAAAGTAGCTAACCCTGGATACTGGACAATCCAGAGCCTGGCCTCCCAGGTCCAAAAGGGCAGGCCTAGGAAAGCCATCCACGTCCTGTTTGGGGGCTTACTGCCTTCCTCCCGTATAGCCCTCTGGAGGTTCAGTCCTGTCTACGCTGACACACTTTTTGTTCCATAGGGGCTTGTTTGGCTGGTGGCCCCACACACCCAGAATGCTGCTTCGGGATGAAGCTAGGCATGGAACCAGATGCAACAGAAAACCCGAGAAAGGGTTCTCTTCCCTCTGAGGCTGGGAGGGCCGAATGCTCATGCCCACAAGGATTCAAAAGGCAGAGTCAAGTTGACATCATAAAAAATATTCTGAAAAAGTGCCCATGATATTTGAGGAAAAGAGTAACTCTTTTATTGTTTCCATCTCAGGAACATTTGCCCTGCTCCATACCAGGTCATAAATCCCTGAAAGCTGTGCAGAACTGGTCAGAATAAAGTCTATTAGCTTAAAGTCTGAGCATGTTAAATGACTTTACACATTTTAAACGTGATTCTCAGAAGCTAGGGGACAGACCTGATATGCAAGGCCAATGCTTGGCTGCGTAAGATAAAAGGTAAACTATCCCTTGTAGGAGAATATCCATGGACACTGTCAAAGATTTAAACTCAACTGTTGTTAGAGCTGAGGCAGATGCTCTTTCATCTCATGTGCAACCCTTATACTTGCATAAGTGACTACTCTTGGCTGGGGGATGGCAGTGGGGAAGAGATCATGTAGACAGTGCAAGGGCGGCCTGCAAGACGGTGCTTTTACTCTTTAGCATCAATTCTGTGGACAGTAGAAGATAAAGAGTATACCATCTAGCTGGTCATATTTCTTCACCGTTTCTCTTCCTTTTAGTACTCCATAATTTATATAATTACTTCCTTTCCAGCCATCCTACTCCCTCCACCAGCTGCATCAATATATATTTTCTTCATCATGTGGTCAGGGTACTTGTGCAGGGCCCATGTATTTGAATGTCAGTGAGTTCTCTTTGTTTGGTGTCTCCTCAGCAGTTTTTGTATATGCCTCCTGTGTGAACAGTCCGTACAGTAGGAGGCAGGACTCTGAAAACCAGTCCATCATTTTATAATCATTTATTCTGCCTCCTTAAACCCCACACCAAGCCCCACCTTCCCTCTTGTCCATTGTGGAGTTCCATCACATCTCATTTAATTCCTATGTCATTTGCACACTCAAGAGGGATGCTTGAAAGGATGAGTAATTTAGGTTGCCTAAATCTGGTTGGGAATGCCTCTCAGCAGGTCATTTGAACTCAGTTATTTTTAGGTTCTTCAGTATGTTAGGTTCTTCCTAGAGCAAAACAACTAGAAGAAATAGCTCCTGCCCATTTGAAGCTTATAGTTCAAAGTAAGGATAGCCTAGCTGTGGTCACCACCCTGTGAATGCCATGGTTGACTTACTAGCTAGTAAGACAGATGCTCCCCTGTCTAACACTGTGAAGGAGGGTAATTTTTCACATTAGAGAACCAACTCTCTTTTACTTCAGAGATGTCTGTGGCACTGGGTTTTACCTCCCTTCCTTAACTCCAGATTTTCAGGCTTAATCTGTAGCAAAGCTTTTTCTTTTTCTCTGTCACTTGAAGGATGGTTAACAACATGTCTGTTATTTCCCCTTTCTGTCAAATGATTGGATGACTATGTGTCAGAGTATATTGACAACCACTGTACTCCTCACAAAGAGTTCCTGATTATCCCTCTGCTCAGAAATCCCCTGTAGCTTGCCAAGATGGTATAGAGTGTTCAAAAGCCATTTGTGTGTTTTACAAAGAAAGAGAATAAAAAGAAAACACACTATCTCTTTCTCCTGAATTCTGCAGATTTCCTCCCCTGCTTATTTACACCCACACCCTAGGAAGAGTCCAGGTATATCTACAGTATGGTGAGCATTATAAAAGTCAGCTAAAATTGTCTTTTAAAAGATGAAAATGAGCTTTGAATCGTTCCTACAGCAGAATTCTGGATTTTGAAAACGATTAGTAAGTTAGCCACTAGTTACTTAGTAGTTAATATTCAGAAATGCAGACATTTGAACTGGAAACAAAGGGGAGGTACAGTTTGTAAGAAGAGCAGTTAAAAAAGAAAAATCTGAGCTGAGTTTATGGAAACTAGACAGGGCGATTTTGGCATTTGTTTCAGAAATGGGAACACAACTGGTGAAGATTTCTGTGGTCCTTGGGGCTGGTGGTGACATCAAAGCTTTCCCATTTCCAGGTAAACTCCAGTTGCATGTGGGAACCTGCAAGTGTGACATTCTGGGTTTTGGAGATGAGATGTAGGTAGGGAAGAGGGAAACAGTGAGGTGCAGTCTCGAGTGTAGACTAATGATTTTGTTGAGA